GTGCTCGTGGTCCTCGCTTTGTTTGTCAAGGTCCTGGAGCAGTTTGGCCTCTTTGAGCCTGTCTCCTTGGAAGGTAACCCAGTGTCTGGCATGTCAGGGCTGCTGGCTGGCAGGACAGCCACCTGAAGTGTTGGGGTGGGGGTTACTCTGCCTCTTTGACAGGGAGCAGAGTGATGGGATAGGGCATGTGAGAGGTGAGCAGGGTGCTTGGGGAACAGGATGTGTGGGAGAGGTAAAGAAGTGGACTGGAGGGCTGGATCTGGGGGAGGTGGAGGGAACATGGGGTATTATTGGCTGTCTGAAGAGAGAGAGCCAGGGACTGACGGAGTATTTGGGGAGGTGATGAGGGTGCAGCATAGAAGGACTGAGGTATGGAGATGAGGGGACAGGAGAGGTCTGGGGGGACATGATGAAAGTTCTATAGATAAGCAAAGAAGGAAGTTGCAGGGATTGTGGGAAGACATCAGACTTCTGGGGAGTCCCTTTTGGGTCCAGGGACCCACAATAGTCTGAAGATGTGTGTGACTCTCCACACCTTCATCCTTGTGTGACACAGTGTGTGAGATACAGGGGATGTGACTGTTCGTGTGTGAGAAAGGACAAAGAGTGTGACCATGTGAGCCTGTGTATGTGTTAGAATGACAGGGTGTATGACTTTGTGGCATGCTGTGACTGTGCCTGAGGAGGGCTGGCTGTATGGCTGAACCTCTTTGGGTATCTACTGTGTGTGCAGCTGTTCTTGGAGTGCCCTGAGTATATACCAGCTCTATACTCAGGGCTTAGGTTGGGGTGGCTTCTGGGGTCAGGACTGGGAACAAGTTGTATCTTGAATGAGATACAACTAGATCAGCTCAGGAGAGAGGGTGAGGGATGGATCAGATCAGCGCCCCTGCTTCCCAAGCCCCCTGCCTCTCCCACTTCTTCCCAGGATCCAAGAACAGAATGGGTTCTAGGACCTAGACATAGAGAGTGGGAAGTCAACTCTCCACCTCAACCCAAAGCCAAGTGGGGAGAGTGATGCTGGAGCTAGAGTGGGGAGCATGTTCTGCCGTCTTCCTCTTCCACACAAACAACTATGCAGCTCCATCGCTTGGCCTTCCCCAGTTCCACCAAGGACAGGGAATCTGACAAGAACCAGGGTAGGACACTGCAGGGTAGACTCCCTGGGGAACTGAAAAGGTGTGAAGGGAGCTGGGGACAGGGGAAGGTGCCTGAACTGCCTAGTACTCAACAAGAGCAGACAACTCCTAGCCCATCCCACAGCCTCTGCTGCATTTATTGGCGTGATGTGGGAGCAGGCATTGCTCTAGATGAACTGGGAGGCTGGACTGAGCTTGTTTTCATCCAGTCCCTAAACGGTAGGCTCTAACTTGTCATACCAATTGGACTATTTGGTGGGAAAAGGGTTGATCCAGAAAACCCAAGCAACCTGAAAAATGAAGGCAACCCCTTTCTCTTCCTACCTGGGAGAAGCCTAGAGATAGAATCCCAGAGCAGGATGCCTGGGGCCAGGTGGTGAGGAGGATATGTGAAGCAGGGTAAGCTGGGGGAGGCTTGTGGAGTCGCCACCCCCCCCCCCAGTTCCATAGCAGCAGTGACTACACCACCAGAGGCCCCAGGCACAATCCGGCTTTAAGAAACCAAAGTCTAAACTAATGGAGGCCTGGGCAGGAGGCCAGTCCATCATCATCGATCTCCACCAGGCCTACTGCCTCCCTCCCCCTCTCCCTACTTCTGGTGAGCATGTAAGGGAGGGGAGGTGGAGACAGTAGTGGGGAGGGGGGAAGCTATGACTTAAAGCAGTTATCTCCTGGGAGCAGTACCTTGTCCTGAGGCTGGGTACTGGCTTGGGAGGGCAGGGCCTTTCTGGAGGTGATCTGTGGGGGGCAGCCACAAGACATAGACACATACATAGGAACTTGGAGGGAGGATCCTGGGGCGCAGGTAGAACTGTAGGATCCTGTACAAATAAGGGGAAGGTCGTGGAATTGTGATCAGTGATCTCTGAATAGCCCCACATTACATCAAATATTCATCTCCAGGCTCTGTTATTGTCTCAAAGTTTGCTGTTGTTTACCTTCAAAGAGGAAGCCCTATTGGAAAGGGCTGGGAAGGACCACACTTTTAGGGTGGATGAATTAGCTGAGGAAGAACATGTTCCTCTGGCAGGAAGATTCTAGGTGACTTGGGTGAAGGTTTATAGGAAAGAAAGGTGGGTATCCCCAGGAAAAATAAGGGTCTTGTGGATGAAGTGCAGTCTTCAATATCTGGGTGCCAAGGGGACCAGGGCCGCAATATGGGTGTCATGGTGACCTTGATATGTGTTGTGTTATTTTTTTTAAAGAGTTATTTATTTATGCATACAAGAGCTGGGGTACAGTCCGGAGGTGCAGGGAGCGAGAGGATTCACCAGAGACAGAGTGGGGAACAGAACAGGAAGACTGACTGAAACACACTGCTGAGGGGAGCTGTGGGCGTGACAGGAGAGGTCTGCTGCACCATGTGGGTTGCTCCCTGGCCGGCCAGGGGATCAAACTCATGCTGCAGAGGCTGAGGATTGCTTCATAGTGCTGTGCTTAACCCCTTGCACCACCAGGGAGACCCCTGTGTTGTATTATTATAAGGCCATAGTGTGTCATAGTGTACTTAACACACATGTCATGATGTCCCAGGGTCTTTGTTTATGTGTGGCTGGATCATGCAGTGTGTAAGGATGACCTGTATTTCCCCATATGTGTCATGTTTCTCCTAGTTCACATTTCTCCTAGGTCACACATGTGGGCTCACATGCATGTGTTGGGGTCTGCTCATTAGGCCATCGTGTTTAAGTGAATTGCTAGGTATCAAGATGTCACTGCATGGCATCTATCATCTGTGATTTATCATTCCACGTGTCACTGTTCACCTCTTGCTCTGTGTGTGTGTGTGTGTGTGTGGTGAGAGAGAGAGAGCAGGGTTCCTACAGAGGCAATCCTTGGGTTGGACCCCTCCTGCAGAATTTCTAGCATAGCACTGGAGCCAAGGGCACTAGGTCAACAGACCAGTGCCACCCCCCTCTTCCCCTCGCACCTCACTGTCCCCAGCCGTGTCCCATTATAGCAAGGTGCCTTGGCGGATGTTTCATGCCTGTGAAACCCACTGGGCTCATCCCCAGCTACCCTGCCGTTCCCCCTCTCCAGTCCTTCCCCCACTCCACTCCAGCCCCAGCCGGGTTTATTTGTGACTGGTGGGGAGGGGACAGGGAATGGAGGGACAGTGGGGGTTAATGTGCCCTCCTGGGGTCTTCTCTCTTCCCAGGCCACCCTCCAGGGCCCACTAAAAAAGCGCTGAAGCAGCGGTTCCTCAAGCTGCTGCCTTGCTGCGGGCCCCAAGCCCTGCCCTCAGTCAGTGAAAGCAAGTGCCTCTACTGTGCTTCCGGGGGCGGGGCCGTGTGTGTGTGTGTGTGTGTTCGTCTGTGTGTGCGCCCAGTGTGGTGTGTGTGTGTGTGTGTTCGTCTGTGTGTGCGCCCAGTGTGAAAGAGGCGGCCCTGCTCAGGTTGTGGGCGTGGCCACCGTGGGGTGAGCGCTGATTGGGCGGGCTTGGGGGCGTGGCTACGGAGCGCACAAAGCCTGCGCGTGTGGGCGTGGTGAGTGGGGGCGGGGCCCGAGCATCCGCGCCGCAGGTGCGCCAACCAGGCGGAGCCCGCTCGCTTGAACTACCTGTGTGGGCGCGCTGAGTCGAAGCGCGTGTGCGCGTGTGCGCGTGTGGGACCAGGCGGCGTGCGGGTCTGTGCGTGGCTCGGCTGGGTTAGTGTCTGCACTGCGTGGCGTCCCGCACCGCCCCCGGCTGTGTGTTGGCCTGGAGATGTGTGTTGTCCCCGCCCCGACTGGGCGGCTGCGGGTGTGGAGGACAGAGCCTGCCTGCCTCCGGACGCTGGGACATTTGGGTTCGCTCGTCTGAGCCTGGTCCCCGTTGAGTGGCCTCGCTTGTCTCTAGGTCTGTGTCCTGGTTGGGCCTAGCCCATTGCTAGCATCATACTGTTCTTTGCAAGCTACAAAGGCCCGTCCGGTAGCTGCTGGAGTGTCGTTGCGATTGCGCCCCACGGGGTGTCGGTTCGGCAAGGGCAGGAGTGAGTCCCGCCAACACGTGTGCGTGGGGTCCATGTCGTGTGTCAGTGCTCGTCCGTTCCGTGTGCCTTTGCCCGCGGGGCCGGGGTATGTGTATTGTAACACGCAGGTCTGTGAGATTTGCCGTGAGTGTGAGGGGCGAGGTGTGTGTCTGCAGTTGGCCGCGTCTTCCGCTTTCTCGGTGACAGTTCACTCCCTTCAGCATTAGCCGCCCCAGCCTCCCTCCGCCCCCACAGACCCCGCCCGCTGGACCCAGGTGACTTACTCTCCTGGTGGGGGCGGGGGGAGCTTCTCGAGCGTGGTGGGGGCACTTGCCTGGGGACTGGATGTTGGGGGCTGGGCGGCACCGAGGTGGGGCGGGGCGGGAGGGGTGGATGGGGGCTGGATGTGGCTTGGCCGGCGCTGGGCGGGGCATGGCTTGGGCATGGCTGGATGGGCGGGCCTGGGCTGCAGGGAAGGAGGTGGGCGGGGCGAGGCCGGGGCTGGGCTCTGGACAGATCTGAGTCGGTCTGCGGAAGGTCAGAGCTCAGACATTCCCTCTACAGTCTACTTTAATTGTCCTTCCTTTTCTGGGCTGATGGGGTCGGGGCCTTCCGCTCGAACCAGGGATCAAGGACCCTGGGGCCAGCGCCAATTCGGACCCTGGCTCTGGGACCACGCTTGGCCTTGGGTCTGCCAACTGATAAGACCTTGAAGCTGACCAGCATTTTCTCTCCTTGCCTTGATGTCCTTGGCTCAGGGCCCAGGGAACTGACAAGATACTCTTCTTAGTTGGAGATGAGGGAAGGGATGGGTGGGAAGATGAACGGGTAGGTGACTTAGAAGGGGTGTGGGGGTCGGGCCTGAGGGTCGGCTGTCCCCCCTCCCTTGCTCCCTTCACCCCCATCCCAACAGACAGCGTGGAGGATGAATTTGAACTGTCCACCGTATGTCACCGGCCCGAGGGTCTGGAGCAGTTGCAGGAGCAAACTAAGTTCACACGCAAAGAGTTGCAGGTCCTGTACAGGGGCTTCAAAAACGTGAGTGTGTACGAGTGTTCTGGAATCTGAATGCTAAGGGAGGCCAAACGGGGTGGGGCAGGAGGGGCGGGCCCTAACTGGGACTTTTATTCGGAAAGGATGGACTGGAAGTTTTGAGGAGAGGGGCGGAAAGAAGGGTCCCTAGCCTGAACTTGTAGGGTGGACCATTTGGAAGTGGCAGAAGCTATGGACAGGCCAGTTAGCTTGGTGTACTTTTTTTTTTTTTAATTTATTTATTTTTATTTTATTTTTATATTCCCCATACAATTGCAACCCCCTTATTTTGACCCCAATCCCTCCTTTCCCCGCCCCCACCCCCAGTTTGGTGTACTTTTAGGGAGAAATCTTGCCTCCCATTTAGAAGAGCTACGTGATGAGCCTCCAGGAGACGTGAAGATTTCCCTCTCTGGGAGTCTCAGGGCAAGAAGTTGTGTGTGTGTGTGTGTGTGTGTGTGTGTGTGTGTGTGTGTAGTGGGTGGGTGACTGGAAGGGGAATTTGTCTCTGCCTTCAGTCGGGTTCTCTCCCCACTCCCTCCAGGAATGTCCCAGTGGAATTGTCAATGAGGAGAACTTCAAGCAGATTTATTCCCAGTTCTTTCCTCAAGGAGGTGAGGGGTCAAGGAGAAAGCAGCTGTTCATCTCTAGGCTGAATGGGGGAGAAGGTTCTGGTGGGGCCAGGAATGCCAAGTGATAAGAGGGATTTGGGGAGTGCCAGGGAGGTGTGAAGCCCTCTCCTGCCTGGAAGCCAGGCTTATCAATGTTTGTCCTATAGATTCCAGCACATATGCCACTTTCCTCTTCAATGCCTTTGACACCAACCATGATGGCTCAGTCAGCTTTGAGGTGAGCTGGAGAAGTGGGCTAGGCTTTACAAAACAAATCCAGAGTGGGGGCTGGGTGAAGGGTATCTGACACAGCGTCCCCTAACCCTCCTTCCCAGGACTTTGTGGCTGGTTTGTCAGTGATTCTTCGGGGAACTATAGATGACAGGCTGAACTGGGCCTTCAACCTGTATGACCTCAACAAGGATGGCTGCATCACCAAGGAGGTGTGGAGCAACTGAAGAGCCCGAGGGGCTGCATGTGTGTGGGGAGGTGCAAAGGGCCTCAGGAAGGAAATGACCCACATATGCCTCACCAGGAGGAGTAAGTTCTACCCTAGGCCCTAGGCCTCCTGGTTTGGAGATTGGAGGCTCTTCTTCTCTCTTGGTCTAACAGGAAATGCTTGATATCATGAAGTCCATTTATGACATGATGGGCAAGTATACATATCCTGCGCTCCGGGAGGAGGCCCCAAGGGAACACGTGGAGAGCTTCTTTCAGGTGCCTGGACTGGGTGGGTCCTGGAGTAAGGGAATGAGGCAAGGTTTCAGCAAAGAACTTACACAAGTTCTGCTTGCCTCTCTCTTGCCATTCCCTCCTATTCTCCCTACCTAACTATCTTTTTGCAGAAGATGGACAGGAACAAGGATGGCGTGGTGACCATTGAGGAATTCATTGAGTCATGTCAAAAGGTATAGGCTCCTGCCCTTCTCATTTGCCTGGTCCCGACTCAGGCCTCATTCAGTAATGTAGGAGAAGGCTTCCTTGGGCAGAGCACCACCTTACAACACCTGCCTTCTTCCCCCTATTTCCCAGTCCTATTCCTTCACAACTTGGAGAACCATGTCCCTTCCCTAACTCAGGTCTCTGGGTGTCTCCCTCTTCTCGGCCTTACTGTGTCATGAATGTCACTATTTCTGACCTGGTGTTGTCCTCCCTGTTTCTGACAAGTTCTTTTCCTTTCTCTCTCCAATCTGCCTCTCTCACACCATGGCTGCAGGATGAGAACATCATGAGGTCCATGCAACTCTTTGACAATGTCATCTAGCTCCCCAGGAGAGGGGGTCAGTTGTCCTGGGGGGGGGGCTCATGCTCTAGTCCTAGTCTTGGTGGACCTCACCCTTCTCTTCCCAGGTCTGTCCTCATTTTAGCCCTGCCCTGGGGGCTGTAGGGATCCAAGAGCCTGGGGATTCAGTGGTCCAGATTGCTGGAGCAGAATGGGCCAGGAGTGGGCAGAGTATATCTGTAGGGTATTCCCAACTCCCAGCAGGTCCCACCTCTTTCCTGCCTAATACTCAGTGTTGAGGGTGCCTCTGCTATAGAAATTGAGTGGTTCTCCACCTCCCAACCCCACTCTAGAACCACAACAATAGACACAATGTCTCCTGCTATGGTGCTTTCCCTATCCCTGAGTCCCATAAACATTTCCCCTAAGACTCCTTTCTCAAAGAGGATGCTCTGTTCTTGGCACTGACTGACCTTTTTAACTAACCTTTGAGATACCTGTAGGAGGAATGTAGAGGGAGGAATCTTGGGCCTGAACCAGTGGTTAGGTCCTAGGAGGTGGCTGGAGTTGAGCAGAAATCCTGGCGATTATCAGTGAGAGCTCAGGCATGCCAGGGTGAAGTTCTGAGTCCCACAGGTCTGCCACCCCAAGCCATTAGAATAAGAGTTGCCAGGTTCTTCAGAAGACATAGTACCCCAAGAGAGCCTGAGATCCTGGTGTCTGGCTCATCCCTAGAATTTTTTCCTCTCCTTTTCTGTTTATGTGTGATAGTGGCAGCAGGGGAAAGTGGGTGGGAGATATCCTGGCTGATACCTGCCAAAATTCCAGCCTACCTTACTGGACAACTACAACTTGAGTTTTCATTTACCATTTCCTCTAGACTTGGAGGCATGAAGTAATTCAGGGACCACCCAGTGGATGCCTTAGAAGAAAAGGGAAGAGGGAGGGAGGCACAGCATCTGAACCCAGCATGGGGGCATTCATTAGAATCTTGGGAGAACCCAGGCTCTATTCCAACTCCCCATATAACCTCGGTTTCCACCTAGGGTCTCCTCTTGCTCTATTCACTTTACCCAGAGATGCCCCTGAGCATACCTAGAAGGCAGGGACCATAGAACCCAGGTCCCACCTTATTGTCAGCACTCCTGCCATGCTGCCACTCTTAATATACCTGCTTGTCCCATTTAGCTCATTCTTTCAGTCTGCCAGGATCTGAGGGGTAGGGCCCCCAGGGAGTCCCTTTCCTATCAGAACACTGTTGACTGCTTTGCATTTTTGATTCCTCTGTATATTTTGTAAAAGAAGAAATACAACAGATCCAATAAAACACAATGGCTATGCACGGGCTGCTGTCTCTGCCTTTTTGTCTGTCCCACTCCATCACATACCCCTAACATGTACACCTGCAGCCTTTTAGTCCCCAAAGAAAATGTTTCTCTCTCCCATAAAATGGACAACCCTCAAAAGGAGATTGAGACACAGGTATTGGAAGTGTTGAAAACCCACCTGACCTCAGCGAGGCTGTCATGTGAATCACGTCCTGAGAGAAGACAGGAGGAGACCGATATCCATGTCCTGAAGACTGTTGTTTAGAGAATAAACATCCTTCTTAATCTCAGAGTGTTTTCTGTTCAGGGGGATAGTTTCCTTTAATTTCTAATGAAAGTTCCTTTGTGTAAATATTGCAACTTTGCCTCAAGTATGTCCATACTCCAGCCAGGAATGATGGGAGTTAGATGGAAAGGATCCAAGGTAGGTCCCCATGGAACAGGTAAACCAAAAGGTTACAGAACCTTTCTTTGTTCTGTTCCTCCTTTACTTCAGGCTCCATTATGTGATGAAGGGCCAGGCTTTCTTTTTCATTATCTTACACATTGAAAAGGTCAAGGGAGGGAGATACTGTCCAAGAAACAAAAAGTAACTTCCAGAGTTCATCGGTTTATCAGCTGTGTTCCCTGCTCACATCATCAGCCAACCATCTATTCCTTAGGTCTCTTTGGGTCATAATGCCCTGAAGGAGCTGATGAAAGTTGGGACATCCTTGGTGGACTAGGGGTTAAGTCTCAGCGCTATCACTCTGATGGCTGGAGTTCAGTCCCCGGCCAGGGTCAGGGAGCTAACCCATGAAGGGTACAGCAGACCTCTCCTGTTTTGCCCACTGCTCCCCTTAGCAGTATATTTCTGCTCCCCACTCTGTCTTGGTGAACCCTCAAAGCACCCCCCCCCAACTCTGGCCTACACCCTCGTTCTTCTAGGCAAAAATAAATCTTGGGTCTCCCTGGTGGTGCAGGGGTTAGGTCTCAGTGCTATCTGGTTATCACTAACCACTGTGGCCTGAGTTCATCCCTGGCCAGGGAGCTGACCCACATGGTGCAGCAGACCTCTCCTGTTTCACCAGCTGCTCCTCTCAGCAGTGTATTTCAGTAGATCCACCTGTTCTGCTCCCCACTCTGTCTCTGGTGAGTCCTCTCACCACCACACCTTTGGCCTACACCCCAGTTCTTATATGCATAAATGAATAGAATAAATCTTTTAAAAATAAATAACACCCCCCCCCAAAAAAAAGCAGTGTAGCGTATCTCTGGTAGCATAGGGATTGTCTCAAGTGCTATCATGGTGTCACCACTGTGGCCTGAGTTCGATCCCCAGCCAGGGAGCTAACCCACATATGGTGCAGCAGACCTCTCCTGTCTCACCTCTGACCTACAGATCTTCTATGCAAAAAAAAAAAAAAAAAAAAAAAGTTGTTGTGGGTCTACTATCCAGAAAGAAAAGAATGCACACTTTTCCATATATTTTTTTGTTCCTGAAGTGCATGCATAGGTCCTAAGTTAAGAACCTGTGATCTAGTCTATCAGCCTTCTATTGTACAGAAAAGGAAAAAAGTCCAAAGAGGGGCAAGGACTTGTTCAGTGTCAGCAGTGAGTTTATAGGATGTCTAATGTGATCTTGGGGCACAGTAAAGAGTTTTACATGAAGGGTAAATGCTGTGTATATTGTGCATAATCTATTTTTTTAAAGATTTATTTATGCATGCAAGAAATGGGGTATAGGCTAGAGGTGTGGGTGGTGAGAGGATTTACCAGAGACAGTAGGGACCAGAACAGGCAGATCTACTGAAGTACACTGCTGAGTGTACTCTCTTGACAGAGAGGTCTGTAGTTGCGCCATGTGGGTAGCTCCCTGGAGGGATGGAACTGGTGCTGCAGTGGTTGTGAATAGCTTTATAGGTTGCATATTAACCCCTTGCACCACCAGGGAGGCCCTGTCTGCAGAATCTAAACAAGGTTACACTGTGACAGCTCTCATGGTACTCGATACTTTTTCTTTATAACACTTCTTAGTTTTTAAGCCTGTATTTATTTGCGTGATTGTCAAACCACTTTAATACACTGTGAGCTAAGCACTGGAGTGCCAGGGCTAGGTTTTTTCCCCATCACTATCCTATCCTTGAAACTGGCACACAGTCATTGTAGATTGATTACATGAATGAGCATAGTGAATGTATGTATAAAATTGGGTTAGGTATGGATCCAGTCTTTTTTGTTAGGGTAAATTCAAGTTTGAGGGGAGTTGAAATCTGGAACTGAGAATTGCTAGTGAGATGACATACTCCATAAAAAACAACAAACTGGCATTCTGTGCATTTTTTGGCCACTAGTTGTATTAAACACACCTTTCTTACCTTTCAAAATTTCATGATTTTTTTTTTTTTTCTGCCTTTCTGGCTACCCCTCCTCAGCTCTTCCTTGCATCCTTCTCACCTGGAATTCTATTTTTTTTTTAAGATTTATTTATTTATTTATTTATTTATTTATTTATTTATTTATATAAGCACTGGGTACAGTCAGAAGTGCAGGAGGGTGAGAGGATTCACCAGAGACAGAGCAGGGAACAGAACAGGCAGACTGACGATATACACTGCTGAGGGGATCAGCAGGCAGCAGGAGAGGTCTGTGCGTCATGTGGGACCCTCGCCTGCGGCCGGGGATCGAACCTGTGCCGCAGAGGCTGTGGGCAGCTTTGCAACTCAGCACTCAACCGCTGCGCCACCAGGGGAGGCCCTCACCTGGAATTCTAAAGGAGCACTACAGCTCAGATAATGTTCAGTTCCATGGTCTTAAGTACCATTTACATGCAAAGGACTCCTAGGTTTGTATGGCGGGAATTCTTCTCTGAGCTTCAAAATCCATATATCCAATTGCCTGTTTAACATATTCACGTGGACCTGTATGGTCAAACTTCACATGTTCAAATGGAGCTTCAAGTCACACACTCCCAATGTGCTTCATCTCAGGAAGTGACACCATCTACCTACTCAGACAAAACTTAGGAGACTTCATTTTTTCTTTTTCCTTAATCTTCCTCAATCCTCCTTAAGTCAGTCACCAGTTCTACCACCAAAGGCACACCATCCATCTCTCTCCATCATTACCTAGCCTAAGACACTATCTACTATGTCGCGCACCTGGATTACTACTTATTCTCCATCTGTAAAGTAGCTCTTCCTTGCTGTGGTTATTGTTTACCACATCCCTCTATTTCCTCCTTTCAGTTTCTTTTCATATATTGAATTTGTTATGATTCTGCAACTAGAATATTCCTTGCCCTGTGTAGGCAAGGCCCTATTTCATTCATTTTGCAAATATTAATCATACTCTTACTAAGCTCTGGTTCCTGTTTTGTAGATGCTGAGGTTTGGAGGTCTGGTATGGAGAGAGAGGGTAAGGCAATTGTGTGTCAAGAACTGCCTTTCAAGTTTGTAAGGTACAATGTGGAAGGTGGATTTTGACTGGGCCACAGACCCCAGAGTCTGGACTGTGGAGAGCAGATGAAACTGTGACTTCTGACTCCCTAGCAGATGAGGTGTGAGGCAAAGAGTAAAGTATCATGAGATTAAGACTGGCATTCCAGTCAGCTGGAATGCCAGTCCCCCAATTTCCCAAAGGGATCACAATATCTAGTAAAGCTGCTATGGCTCCCATGTGTTATCAAAGAAGGTCCCCTCAGAAAAGCTTGCCCCAAATCCCGATCTCGACACTCCACGACTAAAAAGAAGAGGAACTTATGAGTCCTGGGAGTTAAGGTTGGGCTACTGCTGGAGGAGTCAAATATAATTCTGTCTTAATTAGAATGAGACAGATTTTCACTTCACATTTATACCTGAGGAGTTGAGATAGATCTTGCAATAAACATAACTAAAATTCATTATGATAGAACTAAAGGGAGTTCTGAAAACATACCAAGAGGAGCCAAGCCCATCCAACTCTTAGGGAAGATTCCCCCAAGAAAATTATGTTTATGCTGAGGCCAGGGGATCTCACTGCTCCCTTGTGTTCCCCATTTCCAAATAAGCAGGCCTTTTCATCCCTCTCTAGCTCCCATTTGCCGGGAGTGCTCTCCTCTTTCCACTACTCAGACTAACCCCTATTCATCCTTTAAGATTCATTTCAAAAGTGAAGCTATGGCCATAGTCGGTCCCCAAAGAAGAATTGTTAGTTCCTCCTCTGAGCTTCCGCCACACTTGGGTACACAGCATGGGGATTGTGTGTGTACCTTCACGGCAATTACTGTGAGCTCACAGTGGCCCAAGAGTCCAGCGCGAGGCAAGCTCAATAGGTGTCTGCAGAATGAAGGAACGAACGAATGACTGAAATTTAATTTAAAAGGGTTAGCTAAGCTGGAAGTAGGGGGAAATGATTCAAGGCAGAGGGGTAAGCTGAGCTCGTTGGAGTGTTGTCTTCATAGAACCGAGCCTGGGGCCTCCCTGGTGGTGCAGGGGGTTAAGCACGGCAATATGAAGCAATCCGTAGCCTCTGCAGCACGAGCTCGATCCCTGGCCGGCCAGGGAGCAACCCACATGGCGCAGCAGATCTCTCCTGTCTCGACCGCTGCTCCCCTCAGCAGTGCACTTCGGTCCGTCTGCCTGTTCTATTCCCCACTCTGTCTCTGGTGAATCCTCTCACCACCCCACCTCTGGCCTGTACCCCAGCTCTTGTATGCATAAATAAACAAATCCGTAAAAAAAAAAAAAAAAAAAAAAAAAAGAACCGACCCTGGATCGTGATGGTGCAACGAGGCAACCTATTAGAAGACTCTCAATAGAAAGTAGGTCAGGCCCCGCTGTTTCTTTAAGAACTAGAGGGTTCGTTTCCGCGCCTGCGCACTGAGAGAGTAAACACCGCTCCTTTTCACCCTCTACCCCCCTTGCTCCCAGTTGCCCCTACCGGCTGTAGCCTCCTCCCATAATCCCCTCCTTGAGGTGGAGTAATGGTTCGTTCCGGGGCGACAGACTCGTTCTCGAGGGTGAAGCGCGCACATGGTACATTCCACCGCCTTCACTACCTTCCGCTCTTCGGCTCCGCCCAGTTCTGCTTTCCCCTCCCGAAAGCAGCTCAATAGGCTAGCCCAGAAGAAGGCAGGGGAGCCGGGCTGAGGGGACCGGTCTGAGCCGGTCTCCGGCGCAGGCGCAGTGCGGATAAACAGGAAGCGGGCGGTAGAGGCAGTGGCAGAGGAGACCCAGGGGCTACCGGGGGGAAATAGCGGAAGGACTAGGATTACTGGGAGGGCGGCCGCGGCTGAGACTGAGAAAAGGCCCTTGGCCATCTGCCTCAAGGAAAAGAGAGGTCGTGGCCGCGCTCTCCACGTCGGCTTCCAGCTCCCCAGCTTAGGCTGTGGCAGCGGCTGACAAAGGGCTCGCGCCGGTGCCGCCGCCCTTCTCATCCGGGCATCCGGGTCCCTGCGGCGCGGGAGGGGGAAGGGCAGAGGGGGAGGAGGAGGGGCAGGAGCGGGAGGGGCGCGCGCTTGGAGCCGAGGCCCTCTCCCGGGCTCCGGGCCGGCGGCCCGACGGACGGAGGCCGAGGAGGACCCGCAGAGGTGGCGACTGCCGTGGGCAGGAGGATGGTGCAGAAGGAGAGCCAGGCGGCGCTGGAGGAGCGGGAGAGCGAGCTCAGCGCCAACCCGGCCGCCTCCGCGGGGGCTTCGTTGGAGCCGCCGGCGGTTCCGGCCCCCGGAGAAGACAACCCGGCCGGGGCGGGCGGCGCGGCCGTGGCGCGGGCGGCTGGAGGGGCGCGGAGGTTCCTGTGCGGCGTGGTGGAAGGTGAGCGCCCCGGCGCGGGCGGGGCGGGGCGGGGGCGCCGCGGGTCCCGCTCGGGCGCTCACACATCCTCTCCTCCTAAGAGGGGGTGGCGGCCGCGCTTCGGGGCGCTTTGAAAGGTTTTCACGCCCGTGGGTCTGCAGTGTGACCCTGCTTTAAAAAAGGGGGGTGGTGGGAGACGAGAGGGTGGGCAGATCTCCCCTCGTGTCCGTAAACGGCGTCCAGTTTCCCTTTGGCGACTAACAGGCCTGACCGCACCCGCCTTAGGCTGGGAGCCAGGCAGGCTCCTGCGGAGGCGCCTGTGAAGAGCCCTGTGTTTGGCTCTGAATTCTACTTCTTTGTACTTTGGGATCGAATTTCCTAGGGTGTTCTGTGTTCAAATGGAAAAATGTCCACATAGATGTGCTAATTCTTCCGGAGTGAAGAGAAGGCCAGGCGGCCCATAGTTTCACACATTACTCTTTTGCTTAGATTTTTTTTGCTAACCAAAAGTCCCCAAGCCTCGCCCTTTGGAGATTTATTTGCATCCTTGAAAATTGTGATTTGCTAACTCCGGCACTTTACGTCTCCCTCCCACCCCTCACCCCCACCCCCCCGTGAAGCTTTGGCTTTATTTTTTTCTTTCCCACCGTATTTAGCATGAAAGATTATTCTTTAGTCCCAATGTTCAAATATTCATGTTTCATAGTTCAGGAACGCAGGTCAGCGACAAACTTGAATTAGAAGTCAACCCAAACAAATCCTTTATGTTTCAAGATTATTTTGCATTGTGAAAGACGCCAGCCTAACTCATCTCTCCTGGAATCGTCATTTCTGTGGTAGTCTGCGTTTGCCTTCTTAATTGGTTCAGCTGCTGCAAACTTAGGAAAACTGCAGCCCTCGGGCGTGTAGTGAAAGCTTCAACAATATGAAATCGCAGACACTTGGCCAGAGGGCCTTGCATCTGAGCTTTCGACAAAGCGCTGGAAGTCATGGTAGTTATTTCCCTCAACAGGGACTCTTTCCACACTGGAGGAGAAATGGAGAGTGAAGCTTTGACTTGAATAACAAATTCTGAAAATATTTGAGATAATGCAGTTTGAATTTAGTGACTGCAAAAGAGGTCTAAAATTCTCTTTTAATTTTCCACCTTCCTATTTCCATTTAAAAGGGATGATGGACAATTTCTGTAGTTGGGGGAAATCACCAGAGGATTGTATCAGTTTTTAAATACAATGAACAAGTGTCAAACTGTATTCTGTGGAAGCTTGAATCGGTTACATTATTGCTCTTTTTCAACTATAGCGTATATTTGAATTTTCTGGAGTGTTTTGCCTGACATTGTCCTCATTCTTTATGTAGTGGTGTGCACAGGAGTAACCCTGGAAAATTAGTTTTTGTAAAAAATCAAAAAGGTTTGGAAAAGGAAAGAAGGGTTGAGAGCGGAAAGAAGGATTGAGAGCTTATCCAGTGTCGTCAGCTTATATATTCATTTGAGAGATAAGTGAATATGGTCTTTCACTTTCAGATAGTTTAATTCTTTTTTTTTTTTTAAGATTTATTTATTTATGCATACTAGAGCTGGGGTACAAGCCAGAGATGTGGGGGAGTGAGAGGATTCACCAGACACAGAGTGGGGAACAAAACAGGTGGATCGACTGAAATACACTGCTGAGGGGAGCAGCACTAGTCAGGAGAGGTCTGCTGCGCCATGTGAGTTGCTCCCTGGCTGGCTGGCTGGGGATCAACTCGTGCTGCAGTATCTGCGGACAGCTTCATAGTGCTGTCTTAACCCCTTGTGCCATCAGGGAGGCCCTAAAGTTCAATTCTAAGGGAGAACAGACTTAATTTCAACTAAAGTAAGGTAATGAGGTGTCCAGGTTTGGCAGAGTAAATCGTCTTGCCGAATTTGGAGGAAAAGACTGGAAAAGTATTTTATTTGACTGGATTTGATGCATGGAAGCATGATTGCTTTGTGTATATTTTCTCTTGGTATATGTATTTGGGATTCTTTCAATGCAGGTAGAGTCTAGAAAAAACTATTTTGTTACCAGAAATTTTTGGGTGGTGGGTGGCTAAGGAGTGCAGGGCAATATAGAAGTATTAGAGCTAGACTCCAGTGAGTAAGAAAACTTGCCACTTAAGTCCTCAGTAACTATGGAGAAAAGATCATTGTGATTTAAATTGGTTTGTGTTTTTGTACGGTTTTAAAAGAGAACTGCTCTTCCCTTAGAGAATAGAGTTGCCTTGTGTTCCTTCCTCCTTCCCATTCACTTGTATATTTTTTTTGGTGACTGAGCATCTGATTTTGTTTTTCCTTGTACTTCTAATTTGGCACCATTCCTAAAATGAGCAAGGATAGGAAATACTGAAGGCGTTGCCAATATTCCTTTTTTCTCTCAGAACTTAGTTGGTTTTGACTCCTAATAGCACTCCTTCCTTTTGTGGTGCCTGTTAACGAAAATCATGAGCTGAGCCTCAGAGTCTCAAAGAAGTTTCTGAAGATTAAAGTGTTAGACACTTGGAAAAAAAAGTTTTTTATATTGAAGCAACTCTAAAGGGATGTTTAATGCCTACTCCTTTAATAAGAGAAAAATGATAATGCTAAATGTTGGAGGACTTACAAACTATCAAGAGTTGTAGTAAATTAACCTAATTAAAATCACCTGATAAAGGGTACATTGAATTGTCAAGATCTAAAGTACTACTGTTTCACACCTTCATATCTTTATTGGTGTGGTGCAGAGTAACCATCCTGTCAGAGATTTGAGCTTAATACATTTCAAAAATTTCTGTTCTATATCAGTCTGTTGTGTAGACTGTGTTTGAATGTGTGCAAGTGTATGATGGGCATTTTGTACTCAGTGGCAATTTAACTATTTTCATGCAGTTCCTGGAGGTGGTTCTTATTTCTTAGAGAAGATTAGCCTGAGACAAGTGGAAAATAAAGGTTAGGCAAACTGTCAGGTGTTTGTGGTTGGAGCTGTGATTAGCACATTGGGAGCTCCAAATAGCAGTTTGGTGCTTATGCCACTACTTAAGTCATCAAATCTGCAGCTTTGTTTTCCTACAGTGTATGTTACTAGTGCTTTGCTCCCTTGTGGAACATTCTGAAGCAAGTCAGATTCTTGAATTTTTGGTTGTTCAAACCTTTGTTCTGGAATTGGTTGCTTCAGAGATTTCCAGTTTGGGTCAATTCCACTGTTGGGCTTTACTATGAATATAGTTTAAGGCATTTTAGGAGTTCCTTTTAGTTTTTCTTCTTTTTCTTTTTAAAGTCACTTCCTGATTTTTTTCCCCTTGGCTTACTTGTTTTTCATCCTCCCCCTGCCCCCAAGGCAATCCAGCTCCCCTCCTAGGCAGTAATTATTAGCAGTTTTTGGATTAATTTGCTTCCCCTTTGTTCATTTTAAGGTTTAGATACGCTTATAAATAGATTTAAATATATCTGGCTTTTTTGGGGGGGTAAATGATGTGGTTTAGCTGTTTTTTGTTGTTTTTTTTTTTTTTAAGATTTATTTATGCATACAAGAACTGGGGGGTAGGCCAGAGGTAGGGGCTTGGGGTGAGAGGACTCACCAGAGACAGAGTGGGGAACAGAACAGGCAGACTGACTGAAATACCCTGCTGAGGGGAGCAGCATGCTAGACAGGGGAGGTCTGCTGGTGCACATGGGTTAACTCCCTGGTGGGGGATCCAACTCTTGCTGCAGTGGTTGCTGATAGCTTCATAATGCTGAGACTTAACCCCTTGTGCCACCAGGGAGACCTGGTTTATCTGTTTTTAAGTAACTGTTGCATAACTAATAAATGTTCATAGTAGAAATTTACTTAAGCAAAAGGAATAAAAAATCACCTTATAATATCATCACCAAAGATACCTTAATGTTTTACTATTCTTCAGATTTTGGGGTATTGTATACATTTTTTTGTAAGATGGGATTGTGCTGTGTGTTTTATAACCCACTTTTCTCAGTAAACAGTTACCGCATTTTGAAACTTGAAAATAATTTCATTCTTTCTTTGAATCTAGGGTTTTATGGAAGACCTTGGGTTATGGAACAGAGAAAAGAACTCTTTAGAAGGTAAATTTTTATTATATGAAGCATAGTCCTAAAATCTTAACATTTCCTTTTTGTTTGTAGAAATTCTAATACTGAGCAGGCCAGGTTTGATAAATTTTCTGTTTGATGATTTCTCATTTGTGGAAGTTATTTTCTCTTGGTCATTTACATCTCTTCCCCATAGCCATTGATTTTCAAACTTTTCTGTTGAAATCCCAAATAGTTTTGGGACTTTGCTTGCCTCACCCGGGGCTGTTTTGTTTCTATTGAAAATTGTTTAATATGTTGAAATTCCTTGGATAATGTAATTTTTTCAATAATTCCACTGTTCACAAAAAGATTAAAAGATACTGTTCTAGAATATTATTAGAGATGTTAGAGATCTCTTTATGAAAGTTGGAGATGATCCAAGGAAAGGAAAGATATGAGATTTAAAACCTCATACATGGTTTATTTATGCATATGTAATTTTTTTTCTCTTAAGGCTCCAGAAATGGGAATTAAATACATACTTGTATGCTCCCAAAGATGACTACAAACATAGGATGTTTTGGCGAGAGATGTATTCAGTGGAAGAAGCTGGTAATTTTTTAATTTTTAATCCACTAATTCAGAATATGTGAAGTTATATTTTAGATAAAGCTGCACAAAATTTTTCTCAAGTATTTATTTTTTCTTTGTAGGTATTTTTCTTTTTTTCTCTCTGGTAACTATGTGATTTAGTGCAGATTAAGGTGTAGCTCTAACAATGCAGCCATGGGTGCATGTGATTCATGGGTATGCCAGTTGATTCCACCTGTTCTCTGATCATAGCGTGTACTTTTTACTTTGCCAGTAAAGTCATACCATAAAAAAAAAAAAAGTGTTTAAACATAAAAACTTTAAGTTTACTGGCAAACACTAGACCACAAACAGTGCTAAAGCAGGCAGTAGTCCTAGGGCAAAACAAATGAGGCCCCCATGTTGCAAATTTTAAGAGACTCAAAAAAAATTAGTTAAGCTAAATATGCAAACTCTTTTTTGAACATAGCATTTTTTTTTAAGATTTATGTATTTATGCATACAAGAGCTGGGGTGCAGGCCAGAGATGCGGGGGGCGGTGGTGAAAGTATTCACCTGAGACAGAGTGGGGAGCAGAACAGGCAGATCTACTGAAATACACTGCTGAGGGGAGCAGCGGGTGAGATACGAGAGGTCTGCTGAGCCGTGTGGGTCACCTTCCTGGCATGGATTGAACTCATGGGGTAGTGGCTGTGCAGTGCTTCATAGTGCTGCATCTTAAGCCCTTGTGCCACCAGGGAGGCCCTCTTACGCAAACTTTTTCTTTTTTTTAAAGATTTACTTATTTATTTATTTATACAAGCACTGAGTACAGTCAGAAGCATGGGAGGGTGAGAGAATTCACCAGAGCGGGGAGCAGAGTGGTCAGAAGGACAGAAGTACACTGCTGAGGGGAGCAGCGGGCAGCAGGAGAGGTCTGTGCGCCATGTGGGACCTTCCTCTGGTGGCCAAGGAGCAGCCGGGAATCGAACCAGCACTGCAGAGGCTGTGGGCAGCTTCGCAACCCAGCGCTCAACCGCTGCACCACCGGGGAAGGCCCTCTTATGCAAACTTTTAAGCCAAAATAAATGTAAAAAACCCATTAACAATTTTTTTTTTTAAAGGCAGGATCAGTATTACTGATTTTTTTTGCTTCAGATTCAGGTATGACTTGGTCTTGACCACTTGATTACTGGTACTGGTTCTGTGTTATTTAAAAATAAAGATCTCACTCTAGTCCAGGCCTATACTGAGGTGAGAAGCCATACAACTGTATTCCTCTGTGTGCTCTTACTTTGAGTTAGTTACATTAAATTCAGAAATAAGGTAGTATATCACACAACTTCTTTGTAAATTAGATGAGGTACCTTTTTTTGGGTATTTGAGTGAATGGGGAAATATTTTTATGGTTTGAATTAAGTAGTATAGGTATGTGGCTTATAAAATACTTGGTGTGAGGGCCTCCCCGGTGGCGCAGCGGTTGAGCGCTGGGTTGCGAAGCTGCCTGCGGCCTCTGCAGCGCCGGTTCGATCCCCGGCTGCTCCCCGGCCACCGGAGGAGGGTCCCACATGGCACACGGACCGCCCCTGCCGCCCGCTGCTCCCCTCGGCAGTGTACCTTGGTCCTTCTGCCTGCTCTGCTCCCCGCTCTGGCTCTGGTGAATTCTCTCACCCTCCTGCGCTTCTGACTGTACCCAGTGCTTGTATAAATAAATAGATAAAATAAAATAAATCTTAAAAAAAAAAAAAGTTTCACTTTAAAAAATAAAAAAAAAAGATACTTGGTGACATGGTGACAGAGCCCAGCCAAGGCACTGAAGGTGAAAATTTTCCTAGAATTATGAAGACAATTAAAATTTATCCCATCTTCATCTAGTGTTGTTTACTATATAACTTAAATGTGCCTTAGCTTTAAATATTTTCTGGTGGTTATGGTAATGAAATTTAATGTGATCAAATAACCAGAATATGGTAAAACAACTAGCTTGAAATACTACCGAATGATATATGAGGATTATGTCCTTGGTATGGAATTGTATTTCAGTTTACTTACCACATTTTGAAAATTCATATCTGTAATGAATATTTGTTTGGTAATTATAAAGATGAAGGATCAGGATTATTAAAGTATCATTCATCTGTGTGTTTTTTTTTTTTTTTTTAAGATTTATTTATACATACCACAGCTGGGGTACAGGCCAAAGATGGGGGTGGGGGTGAGAGGTTCCACCAGAAACAGAGTGGGGAATAGAACAGGCAGATTGACCGAAGTACACTGCTGAGGGGAGCAGCGGGCGAGTCAGGAGAGTCTGCTGTGCCATGTGGATTGCTTCCTGGCCGGCTGGGGATCGAACTTGTGCAGCAGAGGCTGTGGATTGCTTCATAGTGAGGTGCTTAATCCTTTGCGCCAGCAGGAAGGCCCTATCTGTGTTTCTTAATGTGTTTTTCTTCCAAATTATAAAATAGTTTCATACATATAATTACTATGTAGGAATTTCTGTTCAGAGGTTGCAAAAACAAAAAACATACCTCTCAGTATAGGAAATAAAAGTGGTTTATATTTAATAGGAATTAATGTTTAATTCAGTATTTTTGAGAAATGACAATGAAGAGAATGCTATATTGAGTTTAGTGTGATGTTAAGTCACATCAGGCTTGTGCTATTTTTTAATGGCCTCTTGTCACATTGGACATGATAATTTTGTGAAATTTTAGAAACTTTTCCTTTCTTTCCTCATTGTATATTGGAGAAAAATGGTCTCTGGTTGAAAGGTGAAGGTTCTTTTAGTTGTCAATGCTTTCTAAAAATATGTTCTTTTTTTTTAGAGCAACTTATGACTCTCATCTCTGCTGCACGGGAATATGAGATAGAGTTCATCTATGCTATTTCACCTGGATTAGACATTACCTTTTCTAATCCCAAGGAAGTATCCACATTGAAACGCAAATTGGATCAGGTAATATACTTTTTTTTTTCCCACTGTTTTCCTCTGAATTAGTTCTTGTAGCTAAAAGTTTTCTGAGTTGCTTCTGTGATGCTAAAAAGAAAGCCAAATTCATGTTTCTGTGTGAGTATTTTACTTTAATGCTCTTGATGAGAAGCAAAGTTGAAAGCTTTACTGCAGGTATTATACTTCTGAAACTTCATATGCATAAAAATTTGTTAAGATTTATTTTTATTTATGTGTACAAGAACTGGGGTGCAGGCCAGAAGTGCAGTGAGGGTGGGATAAGAGGATTCACCAGAACAGTGAGGAGCAGAACAAGTGAACATACTGAAATACTCTGCTGAGGGGAGCAGTGAGCAAGACAGGAGAGGTCTGCTGTGCCCTGTGCCTCAGCTCCCTACCCATGGATGGAACTCATGTTATAATGGCTGGCTATAGCTTGATAGTGCTGAGACTTTAACCCTTGTGTCACCAGGGAGGCCCCTGCATAGAACTCTTAATTAAAAGAATGCTTCGAAGTAATGCTTAAAAGAGTGTTAATAGGCTTCATTCACAGAAACTCGAGACTCTTACACTGATTATGGATAGGGACCTGAGAATCCAGGTGATTCTGAAATTCTTTGATTTGAAATCATGTTTTGAAAAACTATTGGGTGCTTGGCTGCATTTATGACTGAGGTTATAGAAATAGGGTTTTACCCATAGACATCATTCTCTTGGTTATATAAAGAAGAGATCTAATTCAGCCTGGAAACGATTGGCTAGTTTCCCGAGACGAGAAGAAAAATAGACGAGGTAACACAAGTAAGACTGTAGTAGTGAACCAGGTTTTGGAGTGTAAATTTTACCTAACAGGGCCTCCCCGCTGGCGTGGTGGTTGAGCACTGGGCTGCGAAACTCTGCAGCTCCGGTTCGATCCCCGGCTGCTGGGCGAGGGTCCCACATGGTGCGCAGACCTCTCCTGCCGCAGACCTCTCCTGCCGCCCGCTGCTCCCCTCAGCAGTGTACTTTGTCACTCTGCCTGTTCTGCTCTCCTCTCTGGCTCTGGTGAATTCTCTCACCCTCCCATGCTTCTGACTGTACCCAGTGCTTATATAAATAAATAAATAAATCTTTTTTTTTTTTTTTTTATAGAGGCATTTTTTTTTTATTTATTTATTCATTTATTTGTTTGTTTGTTTTTGTTTATACATGCACTGGGTACAGTCAGAAGCGCGGGAGGGTGAGAGAATTCACCAGAGCCAGAGCGGGGAGCAGAGCAGGCAGAAGGACCGAAGTACACTGCTGAGGGGAGCAGTGGGCGGCAGGAGAGGTCTGCGCGCCACGTGGGACCCTCCTCTGGAGGCCGGGGAGCAGCCGGGGATCGAACCGGCGCCACAGAGGCTGCGGGCAGCTTCGCAACCCAGCGCTCAACCGCTGCGCCACCGGGAGGCCCAATAAATAAATCTTTAAAAAAAAAAAAATAAAAACAGCTTTGACTTTGAACAGTCTGCTGAGGGGAAAAAATATAATTATTAAGTATATGCAGTTAAATATTATTTGCAATCTTATATTTTCTTATTCTAAGTTAAGCTGACTAAGAACCTCTCTTTCCCTTTTCGTTTTTCTAGGTTTCTCAGTTTGGGTGCAGATCATTTGCCTTACTTTTTGATGATATTGACCATAATATGTGTGCAGCAGACAAAGAGGTATTCAGTTCTTTTGCTCATGCTCAGGTCTCCATCACAAATGAAATTTATCAGTATCTCGGAGAACCAGAAACCTTCCTCTTCTGTCCAACAGGTATTGTATATCATAGTTTTATTTATTTATTTTTATTAAAAATTTATGCATACATGAATTGGGGTACAGGTCAGAAGTATGGGGGGGGATGAGAGGATTCACCAGAGACAGAGTGGGGAACAGAACAGGCAGATCTACTGAAATACACTGCTGAGGGGAGCAGTGGGCGAGTCAGGAGAGGTCTGCGCCATGTGGGTCTCCTCCCTGGCTGAGGATGGAACTCGTGCTGCAGTGGCTGCGGATAGCTTCAAAGGCTGTGTCTTAACCCCTTTTGCCACCAGAGAGACCCCACAGTTTTATTTTTAAGTCGTCGTCTTGAAATAAATAATTTTCAGATGACCATGTATAAACTCTGTTGTGTTGTTCCTCTCCCCTCACCAGAAGATATTTCTCAAGATCTTAAATTGGAAAAACTATATCACTAAGTGACAGCTGAGTAGGCAAATGATATACTGGAAAGTATGTGAACATCACATTTCCAGGATTTAAAGGAGGGATGGTATTAAAATGAAAACTAAAATTTTACATTACTTTTAACTTAGTCACTTTTCATTTCCTCCTACTGTTCCTTTTTCCTGCCTGTGCATATCTTTTCACTCCGCCCACTCCCGTCTGGGCTCTTATTTCCAGTAGTCATCATAGAGAGCTTAATAGTTTTTTTTCCCTTTTTTCCCTCTTTTCCCCCCTGGTTCCTTCCATTGAAAATGCTTTTGTTTTCCTTAGTTGCCTCTTAAAATTATGCTTACAAGAAATTTTCTTTAGACTTTTCTTGTTCAGGAAAAGATCAGTAAGTTCTAGGAAATTTTAGACTGAGTTGTATTTAATTTTGCCTGTATATCTATTTTAGAGTATTGTGAGCATGAACCTTACTCAGTAGTCTGATACTGCATGAGTACTCAAATAATGTTCATTAAGATTATACTGAAAATTAATTCATTGCAGTGTAATGCATTCTTTCTGTTTATGTTACTGTCAGTTCATTCTGTGTGGCCTCTGATTGCAATGTGAATGTCGGCAATACAGAATAGTGAAAATAATGCAGAAGTTTTTAATTATTTTTTTTAAGGTTTATTTATGCATACAAGAACTGGGGTACAGACCAGTTGTGTGGGGGGTGAGAGGATTCACTAGAGACAAGAGTGGGGAACAGAACAGGCAGACTGACTGCAGACACTGCAGATAACTTCATGGTGCTGCACTTAACCCCTTGAGCCACGAGGAAGGCCCAATTTTTAATTATTATTTTTTAAAGATTTATGTATTCATGCATACAAGAACAGGGGTACAGGCCAGATGTGCGGGAGGGTGAGAAGATTTACCAGAGACAGAGTGGAGAACAGAACAGGCTGACTGACTGAAATACACTGCTGAGGGGAGCAGTGGGCGAGACAGGAGAGGTCTGCTGTGCCATGTGGGTATCTTACCGGCCAGCTGGGATCAAACCTGTGCTGCAGAGGCTACAGACAGCTTCACACAGCTGCGCTCAACCCACTGTGCCAACTGGGAGGCCCCAATCTTTAATTATTTCTTTAGTGAACTTATATTTCTAGTAACTGGGATCAAAACGATCTTTGCTACGATTGAAAGAACATCAGATTTCATAAATTCATTATTTTTCAAAATTATTTCTTAAATGAGCTCTACCCATTTGAGTTTTACTTTTGGTGGGCATGCCATGGAGGCTTATTATTTGAATGAAAAGAATTTAGAATTGGTAAACTTCTTTTTTCCCATTCAAACAGGTATCACCATTCCTCTCTATTTTACTTAATTTTTCCCTTTCCATTCAGAATATTGTGGCACTTTCTGTTATCCAAACGTATCTCAATCTCCTTATTTAAGGACTGTGGGTGAAAAGCTTCTACCTGGAATTGAAGTGCTTTGGACAGGTAAGTCTTTGAGATTTATACCGTAAACTCTAACTTGAATCTAGAGAAATTGGTGGTTCTGATTAATTGGTTCCTTTTTATTTTTATTTAAGATTTATTTATTTAGGCATACAAGAACTGGGGTGCAGGCCAGAGAGGTGTGGGGGGTGAGAGGATTTATCAGAGACAGAGTAGGGAACAGAACGGGCAGATCGATGGAAATACACTGCTGAGGAGAGCAGTGGGCAAGTCAGGAGAGGTCTGCTGTACCATGTGGGTTAGCTCCCTGGCTGGGGTTTGAACTCATGCCACAGTGGCTGGTGACAGCTTGACAGTGCTGAGACTTTAACCCCTGTGCCACTGGGGAGGCCCCCAAATACCCATACTTTTAGTATAGAAATACCTGAGAATTTTGTAGTGAATCTGAATATCAGTTACTAATAGATAACATAGCTCTGTAGGAAACTGGGCTAAAGGTTCTTTTTTTTTTTTTTTTTAAGATTTATTTTATTTTATTTATTTATTTATACAAGCACTGGGTACAGTCAGAAGCGCGGGAGGGTGAGAGAATTCACCAGAGCCAGAGCGGGGAGCAGAGCAGGCAGAAGGACCGAAGTACACTGCCGAGGGGAGCAGCGGGCGGCAGGGGCAGTCCGCGTGTCATGTGGGACCCTCCTCCGGTGGCCGGGGAGCAGCCGGGGATCGAACCGGCGCTGCAGAGGCCGCAGGCAGCTTCACAACCCAGCGCTCAACCGCTGCGCCACCGGGGAGGCCCTGGGCTAAAGGTTCTTGCTCCTAGCCCTAGGAGACGGCTCTGTGTCATAAAATGAACTGTCACATGCTAGATCCATAGCTAGCAATTAATGAACTGTATTAGCTTTTCTAACAATTAAGGGCAGGGGCCTCCCCGGTGGCGCAGCGGTTGAGCGCTGGGTTGCGAAGCTGCCCGCGGCCTCCGCGGTGCCGGTTCAATCCCGGCCGCCGGGTGAGGGTCCCACATGGCGTGCAGACCTCTCCTGCCACCCGCTGCTCCCCTCAGCAGTGTATTTCTTCGGTCTGCCTGTCCTCTCCCCTCTGGCTCTGGTGAATTCTCTAACTCTCCCGCGCTTCTGACAGTATCTAGTGCTTGTATAACTAAATAAATAAATCTTTTAAAAAAAAAAAATTAAGGGCAGTATCTTCATCAGAGTTTAGGTTAGTTTAGGTTAGTTGAAGTTTGTCTAGTTGAGGATATACTGAATTATAATGGATAAATTGTTTACATGAGTTGTTTTATTAAAATAATCAGTTTGAAGCCACTTGCCCCAGTCTAAGATTATTTATGCATACAAGAACTGGGGTACAGGCCAGAGGTGTAGGGGTGTGAGAGGATTCATCAGAGATAGTGAGGAGCAGAACAGGCGGATTGACTGAAATACACTGCTGAACGGAGGAGTGGGTGAGACAGTAGAGGTCTGCTGTGCCATGTGGGTAGCTCCCTGGCTGGGGATCAAACTCTTGCTGCAGTGGCTGCGAATGGCTCCATAGGTTGCAACATAACCCTTTGTGCCACTATGGAAGCCCCACTTGCCCAATTCTTGAGTATTCAAAATACCTTTTGACTACTAATTCCCATTTCTAGAGATCTGATCTGAGGAAGTGTGGGGTGGGGGCAAATAAAACTGAATAAAAAAAAATTTATGTTTAAGATGAAAAATTATTAGAATGTATACACATAAGAAGTAAAATACAATAAAATATTATATGCTTTATTTTTTTGAGAAACGCACGTGTGAAGGTCTTTTAACAAATGCTCATTATTTCTAGGTCCCAAAGTTGTTTCTAAAGAAATTCCAGTAGAGTCCATTGAAGAAGTTTCTAAGATTATTAAGAGAGCTCCGGTAATCTGGGATAACATTCATGCTAATGATTATGATCAGAAGAGACTATTTCTGGGCCCATATAAAGGAAGATCTACGGAACTCATCCCTCGGTTGAAAGGAGTTCTCACTAATCCAAATTGTGAATTTGAAGCCAATTATGTTGCTATCCACACTCTTGCCACCTGGTACAAATCAAACATGAATGGAGTGAGAAAAGATGTAGTGATGTGTAAGTAGACTACTTAATCCTCGACCTTGAGAGGAGAGCTGGGCTTAACTAAAACACTTGACAAAGTTGTGTTCTTTTGTCAGTTTAAGGGGTTTGATTAAGGTGGGTTGTTTAGTCCTGTGAAGGAGAGATATATATTTTAGAAGTAGGGCTAAGTGGCTTTGACATGTTACTCAACCTCTTGGCCTCAATTCTTTGTTCATAATATGTGACTGAGCTTTTAATACTACACAAGGTAGTCTTTTTACTGTTCCCATTATCCCTAGATTTACTTTTTTTTTTAAGATTTTTTATTTATTTTCCAAAGATTTTATATTTATTTTTATATTTTATTTATTTATTTCCCAAACTGGGATGTAGGCCAGAAGTGCAGGGGTGAGAGGATTTACCAGAGACAGAGTGGGGAGCAGAATAGTACTGAAATACACTGCTAAGAGGAGGAGTAGGCAAGACAGGAGAGGTCAGCTGCGCCATATGTGCGTTAGCTCCCTGGCTGGGGATTGTACTCAGGCATGGTGATAGTGCTGAGACTTAATCCTTAGGCCACCAAGGAGGCCCACTAGAATTACTCAATATATGTTTTCAGGTGATTTTATTATATGGTGTATGGTATTAGATATTCTTGTGTGTGTGCGCGGAAGAACTGGGTATAGGCTAGAGGTACGGGAGTGTAAGAGGATTCACCTGAAACAGAGTGGGGAGCACAACAGTGTACTGAAATACCCTGCTAAGGGGAGTAGCAGGAGAGATAGGAGAGGTCTGCTGTGCCAAATGTGGATTAGCTTTCTGACCAGGGATCAAACTCAGGCTGTAGCAGTGATAGTGCTGAGACTGACCTCTAGGCCACCAGGGAGGCCACATACTAGATAATTAATATATCATTTAAATCCAACCTGCATTTATGGAGCATGCTCTCATTTTAGACATTGACCAACTGATTTTTTATTTATGAAAATTCCTCATTGGTTTCTAGCTACGAATACTGGCTACTAATATCTAAACATTTACTATTGGCAAGTATATCTTCCCAGGCACTAAAGATATAAAGAATAAAGTAATCCCTTACTTTTGAAGAAGACAGTCTAATATGGGATAATCATATATGCAATTGTACTATATGGTCATAAGAGTGCTGAGGCAGTTATCAACAAAGTGCTGTGGGAATACAGGAGGGATCAGAGTGGTGTTAAACAGTTTCATAGAAGAAAGGATATTTAAGCTTGACTGGAGTATGAGTGATGTTTGCTGGTCATTAAAGTGTTGGTGGACTGAAGGTGAAAAGACTAGGTGTTAAGAAAAAAACTTTGTTGAATTTTGGCCCAGTTTAGGGGGCATTGAATTGTCTCATTGTGATGATAGGTGGTATATAGTGGTATAATGTACCCTATTTGTCAGTTCTTTACTCCTACTTCTAATTCTGTATATTGACTTAATGCTTCTCTTTAAGAGGCATAAAATCTCAGTACCTTTTGCGTACATAGCACTTAAATCCTACTTCTTTTAAGGCAGAACATGAAGCATGTTAAAGAATAGTAGACATAAGCTAATTTGGACCAAATACAGAGAAATAAAGAAAGCTAAGAATAGAGTTTTTTTTTTTTTTTTAATTTATTTATACAAGAACTGGGGTACAGTCAGACACAGGAGGGTGAGAGAATTCACCAGAGACAGAGGGGGGAGCAGAACAGACAGATGGATTGAAGACACTGCTGAGGGGAGCAGTGGGCAAGGCAGGAGAGGTCTGCCCCACCTGCCCCCTGACCGGCCAGGAATGGAACCAGCGCTGCAGAGGCTGCGGACAGCTTCACAGCATGACGCTCAACCCGCTGCACCACCAGGGATGCCCAAGAATAGAGTATTGAACACCAAGCCAGAGTACAGACTTAATTTTCTAGACTATGTCCTGATGCAGAGATTGCCTTACCTATGCTCATATGTAGACTGTTGGTTTTATCTTCTTCCCCCTCTGCATTTATTATTTTGCCCATTATTTTATAATTATTTGACCATTTACTTCTTTTTTTAAAGATTTATTTTTATTTATACAAGAACTCAGGTACAGGCCAGTGGCACAGGAGGGTGAGAGGATTCACCAGAGACAGAGTGGGAAGCAGAACAGGCAGATCTACTGAAATACACTGCTGAGGGGAACAGCGGATGGTACTGGAGAGGTCTGCCACACCATGTGGGAATCTTCCTGGCCAGCCGGGAATTGAACCAGCCTCTGCAGCACTGTGCTCAACCCGCTGCACCACCGGGGAGGCCCCTAATTGTAACTCTTTTATACATACAAGACCAGAAGTGGAGGGGTTGAGAGGATTCACCATAGAGAGAGTGGGCAACAGAACAGGCGGATCTACTGAAATACACTGCTGAGGGGAACAGCGGTTGAGACAAGAAAGGTCTGCTGTGCCATGTAGGTTAGCTACCTGTTCGGGGATGGATCTCATGCCGCAGTGGCAATAATTTGATAGCGCTGAGACTAAACCCCTGCACCCTAAGGAGCCTCCCTAATTATAACTCCTGAAGGGTATGGACTGTTTTGTTTTTGGAAAACATGCCTTTAATCTTGCTTTCTTAAAAATTTGTATTTAGTGGACTTTTATAAATGATTTTTTCCAGTGATTCTTAAGTTACTGCTTTTTATTTCTTTTGAGATTTTAAATCTTGATGACTATTATAGGTAAAAAGGGTCAGTGAACAGCCTTGCTCATGTTTGCATTTTTATATTTATAGTTTGTTCTTGTTCCATTTCATTGCTTCTTTGATTATACTCTAACAACTAAATAGTGTTTTGCATTTGTCCCTCTATCTTGTCAGGAGACTTTTGTAGTCAAAACTTTTTTTTTTTTTTTTTTTTTTTTGCAGCTGACAGTGAGGACAGTACGGTATCAATTCAGATAAAATTAGAAAATGAAGGCAGTGATGAAGATATTGAAACTGATGTACTCTATAGTCCACAGATGGCTCTAAAGCTGGCTTTAACAGAATGGTTGCAGGAGTTTGGTGTACCTCATCAATACAGCAGTGAGTCTGGCTCAAGGGGCTTGGATCACATGGTTGTGTTACAAAGTAAAGGACTTGTGACATGCCTTTCATAGGTCCTCCAAGGAAAGTGAAATAATGGAAATATAGTAAATAATAAGATTTATATAATCCTAATTTAGATCTTAATGGATTGCTATTTTGTTTTTTAAATAATTAATGATTTTAATATGTCTTTAAAAGAGACTATAGTATGTTTGGGGATGTTTATCACCTGTTTCTTCTTTTCCCTCCTCACCTTCTGGGTAGTAGAGAAATAGTGCTTTTCTCAGCATGCAAATCATTTGGAATCTCAAATTGAAGTTCCAGTTACACATAGGAAAACATTTCTCTAGATCTAGTTTGTTGTTTCTAATTTTGATTATCTTTGTGGCAATTTGTTTTTATAGGTAGGCAAGTTGCACACAGTGGAGCTAAAGCAAGTGTAGTTGATGGGACTCCTCTAGTTACAGCACCCTCTTTAAATGCCACAACTGTTGTTACAACAGTTTACCAGGAGCCCATTATGAGCCAGGGAGCAGCCTTGAGTGGTGAATCTACAGCTCTTACCAAGGAAGAAGAAAAGAAACAGCCAGATGAGGAACCTATGGACATGGTAGTGGAAAAACAAGAAGAAACAGATCACAAGAATGACAATCAAATACTAACTGAAATTGTTGAAGCTAAAATGGCAGAGGAATTGAAACCGATGGACACTGATAAAGAAAGCATAGCTGAATCAAAGTCCCCAGAGATGTCTATGCAGGAAGACTGCATTGGTGATATTGCCCCTATGCAGACTGATGAACAGACAAACAAAGAGCAGTTTGTGCCAGGTCCAAATGAAAAGCCTTTGTACACTGCAGAACCAGTGACTCTGGAGGATTTGCAGTTACTTGCTGACTTATTCTACCTTCCTTATGAGCATGGGCCCAAAGGAGCGCAGATGTTACGGGAGTTCCAGTGGCTTCGAGCTAATAGCAGTGTGGTCAGTGTCAATTGCAAAGGAAAAGACTCTGAAAAAGTGAGTATATTTAATTTACCTGCTGCTTTAGACTGGATGATTTCCCATGCTGGTGATTTGGGCAGAGAATTTTTTTTTTAAAGATTTATTTATACAAGAACCAGGGTACAGGCCAGATTCAGGGGAGGGTGAGAGGATTCACCAGAGACAAAGCAGGAACAGAACAGACAGACTGACAAAATCACTGCTGAGGGGAGCAGTGGGCGAGACAGGAGAGGTCTGCCGCGCCATGCAGGACCCTCGCCGGCCGGCCAGGATCAAACCAGCACTGCAGAGGCTGCGGACAGCTTTGCAGTGCAGCGCTCAACCGACTGCACCACCAGGGGAGGCCCCAGAGAATTTTTTCTAAGATTTATTTATTTATGCATACAAGAACTGGGGTGTAAGCCAAAAGTGCAGAGGGTGAGAGGATTCACCAGAGAGAGTGGGGAGCAGAACAGGCAGAGCTACTGAAATACACTGCTCAGGGGAGCAGCGGACAAGTCAGGAGAGGTCTGTGCCAAGTAGGTTGCTGTGGCCAGCTGGGCATTAAACTCGTGCTGCAGTGGCTGGCAATAGCTTGATAGCGCTTTTTATTTTTTTATTTTTTAAAGATTTATTTATTTATTTATACAAGCACTGGGTATAGTCAGAAGCGCGGGAGGGTGAGAGAATTCACCAGAGCCAGAGCGGGAAGCAGAGCAGGCAGAAGGACCGAAGTACACTGCTGAGGGGAGCAGCGGGCGGCAGGAGAGGTCTGCGCGCCATGTGGGACCCTCCTCCGGTGGCCGGGGAGCAGTCGGGGATCGAACCGGCGCTGCAGAGGCTGCAGGCAGCTTCGCAACCCAGCGCTCAACCGCTGCACCACCGGGGAGGCCCGATAGCGCTTTTTAACCCCTTCGCCACCAGGGAGGCCCTGTGTAGAGATTTTGACTGAGTACACTGATAACTAGCAGAAAACTGTCGATATCTTAGAATATGTCCTAAGGCATATGGACTCTGGATGTGGACTCTGCTGGGTATGGTATGGTTAGTTCCATAACTTGACCCTATAGTTAGGAGTGGAGGAAAGTCCAAGTTGATTGTTTTGGGAATATTTGTCAGTTTGGGGAGACATAGACTTCATTAGCTTATCTAAAGAGTTTAAGCCCAGTGATTCTTCAGTGTTTAAGATAAATTGAAGGTATCAGATAACAGTTGATAACTTTTATTTTTTAATTTTTTTTTAAGTAACCATTCCTACTTTTTCTTTTTTTTTTAAAGATTAATTTATTTATGCATACAAGAGCAGGGGTACAGGCCAGAGGTGGGGGGCGGACAGTGAGAGGATTCACCAGAGACAGAGTGGGGAACAGAACAGGCAAATTGACCGAAGTACACTGCTGAGGGGACCAGTGGGCGAGTCAGGAGAGGTCTGCTGCGCCGTGTGGGTTGCTCCCTGGCCGGTGGGGGGATCGAACTCATACTGCAGAGGCTGTGGAAGCTTCATAGGTTGCATTTTTTTTTTTTTTTAAATAGAGGCATGTTTTTTATTTATTTTATTTGTTTATATATGCACTGGGTACAGTCAGAAGCGCGGGAGGGTGAGAGAATTCACCAGAGCCAGAGCGGGGAGCAGAGCAGGCAGAAGGACCGAAGTACACTGCTGAGGGGAGCAGCGGGCGGCAGGAGAGGTCTGCGCGCCATGTGGGACCCTCCTCCGGTGGCCTGGGAGCAACCGGGGATAGAACTGGCGCTGCAGAGGCCGCAGGCAGCTACGCAACCCAGCGCTCAACCGCTGCGCCATCTGGGAGGCCCCATAGGTTGCATCTTAACGCCTTGCACCACCAGGGAGGCCCAATAACTGTGTTTTAGATTATTCTCTTAAGCTTGCAATTTTTTGAGTTCCTGTATTGCTTCTCAATAGATTGAAGAATGGCGATCACGAGCAGCCAAGTTTGAAGAGATGTGTGGACTAGTGATGGGAATGTTCACTCGGCTCTCCAATTGTGCCAACAGGACAATTCTTTATGACATGTACTCCTATGTTTGGGATATCAAGAGTATAATGTCTATGGTGAAGTCTTTTGTACAGTGGTTAGGTAGGTGCACCAGGAATAATCTCTTCTCAGATATATTGTCCTTAAAGAAAAAAAAGACAGATTATCCCATAGGGAGAAAAACTTAGGAATTGGGAAATTTCCAACCCTAAATCTTTGCCTAGATTTCTTTCACAGTTGTAGCCATTATTGCAGACTTGAGGTACAAGTCTCAGTAAATACATGTACCACGTTGATTTTTCTCCCTTGGGCTAATTCAGCATAAATATCTTGAAAAAATGTGTTAGAAAGTACTGACTTTAACTTGCACTGACTGAATGCTTCCTGGATGGAACCTGTATACCATGTTTATCTGATTTGGAGATGAGACACTATGAAATGTGACTCTGTAAGCTCTCTGCTGCTTGCTGTGTCTTGATAACATTAATGCTGTGTTTAACAGAACAATTGCTGAGATGACTAAGGGCCTGGCAAGAGGAAGCCATCCTCCCAGCCCTGTGCGCATGCGAGCTTTAGTGTGAGGCTATTCTGGTGCTATTTGGTATATTTCGCTTGACTTTATCCTTCTACCAAGTAATTGGTTTTAGCAGGGGATGAAAGTTGTAGTCCCCTAAAAACTTTCTGCTTCATTAAATAGACTTCCATATGTCTCCTTGGAATATGATTTTTTAAAATTTCTCAAACTTGGTAAAAAGCACCAGCATGGCCAAGTTTCTCCAGGGACCTCATTTCATTTCCAGGTTTTCAATCCCTCTATAAGGAATCTGTAATGAACTTACAGCACACAGCAGGCAGCAAGGCTAACTGACATGTCATAGTTTTCATAGTAGTCACAAATACTATAATGGGTCACATAGTCTTGGTTATGAAATAAATATATGAAACACCTTGAGCTTAGATTAAGGAAAAATAGCGAGAATTTTTACTTCCTGCCCATATACTTTTGGACTCTTAAATATTAAAAAGTATTATTTTCTAGCGTACAACTAAAAGTAGAGTCTCTGTTAATTTGAAAATAAAGAACTCTGAGTTTCTGTGTATATAACACAACAGGTAGAATTTTGACCACTTCCTGTTTTAAAGGTTCCAAAGTACCTCTTTTCTATGATAGCCATCTGCCCTTAGACTCTCAGACTTCTGTCCAACAGGTTATAATTAACCCTTTCAGGGATTTCAGTCTGTAAATTTCCAACCCGGAATTCTGGACTGTTGAGCTTGAGAAAGTAGTAAAACATTTCATATCCATCTTTTCATTCAAGAATTATTAAAAATTCTTGATTATCTACAGCCATGCTTCTTTTTCCTCTCAGGCTTTACCTCTGTATTATGCAATTTGGGGGCAACTTTCCCAAATTGTATATATAGATAGCTGTTGTACAAACTCAAGGTCAGAGCGTTTTGGGAGTTTTATTAGTCATTTTGGCATCCACATACCTTTTACAAAAACTCAAAAGGATAGTATTTTCATGCTTCTATAGTAATTTCAGGGAGTTACTAATTAGAACCCTTTGTTTTCTTCCTTTCTCCGGTCCAGCTGGCATTCAGTCCTTTAAAGAATGTGGCTATGTAGTACTTTTGATTACTAACGGCTTCTATTATCTTCTTCCCCATTGTGTACAGATGGGAGAACCCTCAGCACAAGTGTCTACACTATTGGATGGACAGCGGCAGATGTTCACAGCGCGTCATGATTAATTAGTTTAAATTGAAAGGTTCTGTCTGTGAGGTAGTTCAGGTAGATTTAAGGGCAGTAGGCATGAACTGAAGTCACGTTTGCGCAGCGACTGAGGCATTAACCATATTTTCATTTACACAGCTCTCCGTACATGCAGCTTTTTATTGTAATAGTTGGAAGTGCTAGTTATGTTGTAGTCTCAAAGTTGGGGGGTAGGGGAAATTGGCTGATCTTAAAGTTTTGAGAGGTACAGTTATTTCCTGCAGTGTAAATTCACACTGAGTTATGGAATGGGGCAGGATCTCTAAATAGCTTTAAATTTGACCCTATTTCATATTTATTTTATATTTTTTTAAGTACCCCTACCCCTAAAAAAATTATAAACCTGGATTATAATCTCTTAATGGGCCTGAATTGTGAACAAAAAAATTGTTTTGCTTTGGGACTGTCTGACTAGCACACTATCTTGTACTGATGAGACTGTTAACTTGAACAGGAGGTAGAATGCTGTCTTCAAATGGAAAAGAACTATTTTGCGCTGCTTTATCTTGTCAGAAGACTAGGCAGGTGATTTTTGATTTGGTCTCCAAATATTTACCTTTAATTATCTCTTTTAGCTGTTTTTATTAACTGTGAAATTGATTGAGTGGTGACCTTAAAGCTCACGTATGGACCTCAAAGCCTGCTACTTCATGCTTGTGTTCAGTGCACTGCAAAAATTATAATGTAGTCCAGAGGACCCAGATGTCATACTTTTAAGAAAAGTATGTCTTAGCTCTGCACAAATGGGGAGTATCAATTGGCTCTCCTTAGTTCTCAGCATCTGCCAGACTAGTATTAGTACTAGCCAAGTCTGAATTTGGATTGTCCTTGTCAGGAGGAAAAAAAAAAAAATTGTGTTTCATTGTCAATTTACCGAACAATTGCTTCTATTTATTCTGCTGACCTTAGTTTTCTGACAAGATTAACCCTTTCCCTTCTTTTTCCCTTTCCTATATCCTTCCTCCAAATGTAAAATGTGACTTCAGACAGGTTTAATTCCTTCATGGGCTGTGATAATAAAATGACTCACTTCATTTAGTTCACTGTACTCTAATCTCAATACAGAACAAGCAACTGGCTTGATTTTTATAACTAGGGAGTACATAAATTTGACCCAGCCAAACAAGAATTTCCTTCCAATATGTAAAGAAAGGATAGAACTCTTTAATAGTGATTATTCATTAGTCAGAGGAAGGAAAATCAATCTGGAATTTCCATTGCAAATTAAAAAAAATTATTATCACAGCCTTGTCCTGAAACCCTGGATTATTATTGTTAGAGAGCTATTTCCACAAAGTGTTTGTTAGTTTGTTGGACGTTTGAGACCCCAGGAAATCCCCTTTCTCGTAACATTCTCCGCTTGGATCTGATCTCAACAGGGTGTCGTAGTCATTCTTCAGCACAGTTCTTAATTGGAGACCAAGAACCCTGGGCCTTTAGAGGTGGTCTAGCAGGAGAGTTCCAGGTATCAATATGAATTCACAACTGAATTGACATTTTCTTTGTTTTATGAGAAAACTTATGTTGCGCATCAGATGGCTGGAAGGATTGGTCTGCCGAAGGCTTTCTGGTCCCAAATTCAATTTAGTTACATAGCTGGATTTTAAATCAAATTTTCCTCCTCTTTCACAGTAATTTCTGAAGGAGATGCTGCCAATTCCCCCCGCGCCTGCGAAGCGCAGCGGCTCTAGGTATACACCTCACATTGTTTCTTTGCAGGTCGCACAGCATTTTAATCTGCGCCCGCAATGCACAATGCGCGCATGCTTATCTGCCAGTGGAAACTCCATGAGCAAAAAAGCTAATTATGAATGTGAATGGTGAAAGAACCTTTGGATAATTTTTTCAATTATTTTGTAAATAAGACATACTTGAAAAAAAGTTGATTAATGAAAATTTGGACATAATATGAAACTATTGGTGTTGTAATTTGTTCATGGACTTTTCAGGTGCTCTACTTTTCTCCCCCCAACAGGTGCTCTGCTGCGCACAGCAAACTGAAGCGCATTGCTTTGGGGATAAAAGCGTCTCCTGGACAGATAACCCTCTTCAGACCAAACCTCTCCTCCTGACATTGTGTTCTGCCATCTTTTAATAGAAAGATGGACTATATAAGATTGGTTAAAAAAAAAAAAGATTTGTCATAATTGGAATAGTTTTTTTTTGGTTTTTTTTTTTACTGTAAATTTAAATCTCCACTAATACGTCACTAAAGCTATGTAACTCAGTTTGGGTAATTTCTATTCAGAAGCATTCCCCTCCCCCAGCGAGTGTTTATATTAGTATAGTACACCCCTCTTCTTTAGGTCTGCCTGCAGTAGCCAGTTAATGTTAAGTTGGTAATCTGCAGTGCACACCCATTTAAAAACTGGTTATCTTCCCAACACTAATTCATTTCCTTTTTTTTCTTCCTACAGCGTTTGCTGCCAATTGATGGGGCAAATGATCTCTTTTTTCAACCACCCCCACTGACTCCTACCTCCAAAGTTTATACTATTAGACCGTATTTTCCTAAAGATGAGGTAATTGTTTGCCTACCAACTTGGTGTATGGTCGTGGTATACACTTAGTTCTTTCCTTTGAACTCACTGGTTAAAGGAATCAGTTATGTATCTTAAAATATGAACTTCAGATGGAAAAAGTTAAGTGAAACATTGAACATATCAGAGGAAAATTAAAGGAAGACCCTAGGAGTTTAGATTCCTTGTATCTCATCCTAAGTCCTTTCCTCCCTTTAAAAAAACTGATGAAATATATTCATAGTTGGAATTACTAAACAGTATGATGTGTTGTCCTTGACTGATTTCCTCCAATATTCTGTAATTTTTTAAAAAAATTTTTTAAATATTTATTTATTTATGCATACAAGAGCTGAGATGTAGGCCAGAGGGGCGGGGGGTAGGGGGTGAGAGAATTCACCAGAGAGACATTGGGGAACAGAACAGGTGGATTGATTGAAATACACTGCTGAGGGGAGCAGTAGGCGAGACAGGATAGGTCTGCTGTGCCATGTGGGTCAGCTCCCTGGCGGGGGATCGAAGTTGTGCTGCAGTAGCTGCAGATTGCTTCATAGTGCTGACTTAACCCCTTGCTCACCAGGGAGGTCCCCAGTATTCTGTAATTTGAGGTTGAAAATGCTTGTAGGTGGTGAAGTGCAACAGGGTGCTTACAATTAGACTGAAAAAAACAAGACTGTTGAAAACATTTAACTTGCTTAAAACATTTTAAATGTATAAAGAATTAACTATATATAGCATAAGTAGATTTTGAATCCACTACTTTATGCTTGAAACCATCCCTTGCAAATGAATTCTTAGTGTTCATTATAGTCATGCTGTTTTCTACTAGTTTGACAGAAATGAGATGATGGATCTTTATTTAACAAAGCAGAGATGATCTTTATTACAAGTCATTTTATTAGTTTCTCTCCTAGAGATCCAATATGGCATGTAAGTCATATTGTTAAGTTTCTGTTGCCATTTTTCTTGATGTGTTGCTTAACTAGATTATATTTTCAGGCTTCCGTGTACAAGATTTGCAGAGAAATGTATGACGATGGAGTGGGTTTGCCTTTTCAAAGTCAACCTGACCTTATTGGAGACAAGTATGTGATGAAATGTTTGGATATGTTAGATGTGGGAATAGACATTTCACATTCAGGTTTATCAGGTTGAGGGGAGGTGGAAAATGAAAATAATTTTTTTTTTAAAGTCCCAATTTAGTTTTAATAGAATCTGAATATTGATATGTTATATTTCTAGTTTCTTTTTACATTGAATGTAATTTATATAGGTCCTTTGGTATATTGGACCTTACTGAAGCTGGAGGATTTTTGTTAGTTACTTAGAAACTTACTCTGGCCTCTTTTCTTCTGAGCAGGTTGGTAGGAGGACTGCTTTCCCTCAGCCTGGATTATTGCTTTGTCCTGGAAGATGAAGATGGCATATGTGGTTACGCCTTGGGCACTGTAGATGTGACCCCCTTCATTAAAAAATGTAAAATTTCCTGGATTCCCTTCATGCAGGAAAAGTATACCAAGCCAAATGGTGACAAAGAACTCTCTGAGGCTGAGGTAATACAGGTGTAGAAATACACTATGGTAATTCTTTAAAATAAAGAAAGACACATTGGTTTAAATTCTTTAAAGTATTAAAAAAGTAAATAGATGTATCATAAAATCTCAGTGGCTTCTAAATATCTTACAGCAAAGAATCTTGGGGCTTATTATTTTCCACTATTCCCTTAGCAGTAGGATGGCCCATGTTGTAATACTTCCTCAGGTAAAATACAATACAAGCAACCTGTTTTTTTTCTCCCTGTTTTGAAGCACCAAGCATGTTAGGGTCTTTTCTTTGGGCAAGGTTAGGTAATTAAAATTTGGTTGGTTGTCAAAAGCTAACTTGCTTTCTCACTGATGCATTTCTCATTGTAATGACAGTCTATTTTCTGGTAGAAGCACTTAGTATATTCTTGTTCCAAGTTCAGTGAATTTTTTCTCAAAAGTGGTGTGTTCCACATTGGTCAATTAGTTCTTTTTACTTATACATTATAGCATGTGTATTTTTTAAAAGTTTCTTGAAGATAATTTTTATGCTCAAATATTTTTAGATCTCTAACAACTGTAGTTTCCAGTGTAGGAGTGGAAATAATAACCAGTGTGTCTGTTACAAACTTTAAAATTTGTGGTAAAATAAAATTTATTGCCTTAGCCATTTTTAAGTGTACAGTTCATTATGTTAAATACATTTTTTGTGCAAGTAATACACTCTAAAATTTTTTAGTAATTTTAGATTTACAGAAATTAGATGATACACTGTTCTAGTATCCAAGAACAGGTTTTACGTTTGTCCAAGTCTTAAGAAATCAGCTTTGTTATATTAATATAAACTCCAAAGTTTACATGTAAGAGTAGCTACTGAAAATCAAGAGGTTTTTCTTAATATTTATAGAAAATAATGTTGAGTTTCCATGAAGAGCAGGAAGTATTGCCGGAAACTTTTCTTGCCAACTTTCCTTCTCTAATAAAGATGGATATTCACAAAAAAGTAACTGACCCAAGTGTAGCCAAAAGCATGATGGCTTGCCTCTTGTCTTCACTGAAGGCTAATGGTGAGTACATACTTGTGGAGTTGTTGATGTTTTGTCATGATAGGGATAAGATTAAATTTTAGAATTAAAGGTGAATTTACATTCCTTTCCCAACCATTTATGGTGTGGTTTCTGAATAATCAATGGTATAGGAATTGCATGTGTATTAATAATATAAAATATTGCTCTTTTATACTGTGATTATTTTGCGCCTCAGTAAAGTGCAAAGTAAATGCAAGAGATTATATTTCGCAAGGAGACTCAAATGATAAATTGAAAATTAAATGAAACTGGGCCTCCTCCCTGTTTGCCTAGGGGTTAAATCTCAGCGCTATCACCACTTCCACCTGAGATATGAGTTCTATCCCCAACCAGGATACTAACACACTCAAGGCTCAGCAGATCTCGCCTGTCTCCCCTACTGTTTCCCTTAGCAATATATTTCAGTAAATCCATCTGTTCTGCTCCCCATTCTGATCTCTGGTGAATCCTCTTACCCCCTGCACCTCTGGCGTACACCCAGTTCTTCTACACAAAACGAATTAAATGAACCTTGGGGAGAAACTTCATCTAAGGATTGCCAAATAGTTGATCTAAACTCAACCTTCAAATATACTTTGCTTTACCCTAGTGATACAGATTTTTTTTTCTTTAAAGATTTATTTTTATTTATTTATACAAGCACTGGGTACAGTCAGAAGCGCAGGAGGGTGAGAGAAATCACCAGAGCCGGGAGCGGGGAGCAGAGCAGGCAGAAGGACTGAAGTACACTGCTGAGGGGAGCAGCGGGCGGCAGGAGAGGTCTGCGTGCCATGTGGGACCCTCCTCCGGTGGCCGGGGAGCAGCCGGGGATCGAACCAGCGCTACAGAGGCTGTGGGCAGCTTCGCAACCCAGTGCTCAACCGCTGCGCCACCGGGAAGGCCCTAGTGATATAAATTTTAAATATTGTGAATGAAATTATATGATCACTTTGTGAAATAAAAGATAAATCACAATTCATAGCCATAATTTTACTTAAGTGATTGTTTCCATATTTGTTTCATTTCCAGGCTCCCGGGGGGCTTTCTGTGAAGTGAGACCAGACGATAAAAGAATTCTGGAATTTTACAGCAAGTTAGGCTGTTTTGAAATTGCAAAAATGGAAGGATTTCCAAAGGATGTGGTTATACTTGGTCGGAGCCTGTGACATTTGTTGGCACTATGAACTGTCCAAAAGTCTTAACTTCACCTGGTGGGCTGGTGGTTGGGGTCTTCATATAGTTCAGTCTCTGGAGAAGCAACAAATGAGCCAATTGGGATTGGAAACAAAGAAGATTATGTAAAACCCATCACACTTTGAGACTACTCACTGGTTGGAAGAAGATAGTATTGCTGCAAATCCTGTATGAAACAGGGATGTGGGCCTCCTTTTTGGGTCTTGTGTTAGGTGTCAGTTGACTTTTACAAGGGCTTATAGGGAGGGGGTCTTCAATAAATGTAGTCAGCACTGTTTTCTGCATCCAGTGTGGTTGCATTTCTCACCCAAGAGTAATCAAAATCATTTGCCATCCACTCTGACCTATTTAATGAGATGTCTCTTAGGGGACATGGCAGAGATGAGAAAGATACATGGGTTTTAGAGGTTTCAGGGCATAGATTCCAATTGGGATGGTTGTGGTACAGTTTAAACTGAATAAATGATTTAAATTTTGGACAGTTTTTCTGCTTTGTAAAAGCCACAGCCACTTTGCTGTAGTGACCATTGGTTCAAGCATGTTGTGCTTTGTAGGGACAAATGTGCAGTTTGTGGCAAAAGCCTAAAAATGACAAAATTGTAAATTTTTTGTATATAAATTGGCTGTGACCTATGTGTTAACTGTTTCTGTAATATTTTTTCTTTTTGAAAATGAGCGGGTGTGGTTCAGGGATGGCACTTTGAATAATGTAAATCAGTGAAAGGTGGATTTTCTTTTCTTTTTAGAAATGTTATTTTTAAAGTGCCTCCCACTGAGGGGTAGGCCATGACCACTTTGGGTACCAGGCCTAATTTCATAGGACTCTGTTGGAAACTGCAGTCATTTCTGGAAGTTAACCTCAATGCAGGTCAGCATGTGAAATGTTAATTTTTGACATCTGTCAAAGTAGGGTTCAGGGATTAATTAGTCCCAATTGCCCTCTGATCAGTTGTCCTTTACTTTCAGGACCTGTTACTACTACTTTTATTAAATCAGAGTCTTTAATTCTTGCATGTTTATCTATTTTTTAAAAGAATGAGCACACTTTAACCAATGACTTACGGTTATCCCCCTCCCTCCAACAGATTCTGAAAGCTTCATGTATTTTAATTTAAATTTGGTGTTTTTAAGGTTCTGAGCATGAGGCTAGCAGGTAATCTCTGCAGGATTCATTATTCATCATGGCTGGTTTAATTTCTCCATAGGTTCTTAACAGTTGTTTGATATCTGCGTCCCTGCAATTTTTTGTATCAGCTGTTTACCTTTGAGGTGAGATGGGAGGAACAGAGAAGGAAACTTAAAAGATTTTCCATCATAGAATTCCATCAGTGTAGGCTTTGGGAGAGTCTTAAAGCATTGTCTCTAATGGTAGTCCAGGCCTGTGATTTGCTGAAATGAAGGGAGTGAAGGAAAGAAAGATGACGATTTTCAGGGTAGACACCTTCAACTGATAAAAGGATTTAGTGTGTTGCAAAATGTATCAAGGACTAAGGTGAAGATTTCTACAAGATATTTTAAATGACAATGTCATTGGTTTTCTCTTTACATTTGGTGCAGTAGTGGACAATTACAGCATTTTGTCTGGAGGATTTCAGGGTCAACCAATGGAATTATGATTTTTAGCAAGTTTGCTTATGGCTTTATCTTGACTTTTAATAATAACTTTAGCTGGTCTTCTGGTCACAGATGCTAAGACAGATGTCCAGACATATCTTTATCACTGTAGGATCATTAAGTGCTGTTATCTATGGTTAAGAATATTTATTAAGGTTGAAATGACATTTCATTGATTGTTCTAGATCTCAGCTCAGTTCCTGTAGAAAATGAACTGTAAAACTATCAGAAGACCAATGCAAGAGGCAAAATAAAACTTGAAGTGAATGTGTGTGGTGGTGTACTGTGTAAACCTACTCTTTCTTCTTCCTACCTTTTCTCTTACCCTTCATGCCTCACCTACAAGCAAATAGTATTCTCTGTGCCTATTCAGGGACTGGATCTTGAAGGCAGTCCTCTCCCAGAACCATCGATTAGAAAAGGACTTAAAGATTTTTCTCAAGGCAAGGCTTAAGACTAAGGAAATGAGACTGGTTTTGCTACACCACTCGTCACAGTTAAACTTCCGTGTAGTTTATGGTGGGAACTAATTTGAGTTTCCACCATGTAACAGTGTAAGTGACAGTTTGCCTAAGCCTTTGGCCGTAAAGTTAAATGGGGGGAGTATCCCAAATTATGAGACCTAGGAGTCCAAGGCAGAAGAATGTGCCAGAGCTGACTGGGATTTATAAACCCCAAATTCTAAATGTGCCAGGAGCACCAGTCAGTTCACCCTGAACCAATGTCCTCCACACTACTAGCTAGCACCAGCATCCAGTCAGGTGTCGAGGCTCAGAAAATGTCTGCCATCTGTATAGATAAGGTGCAGGCTAGGCTGAAAGTAGTCCTAGGAGAGGTCTGAGTAATTCTTGGGGAAAAGTCTTGCCTGACCCTCGGAGCAAAGGCAAATCCGAGCGTACTTTGGCTTTTACTAGAAAAACATTTCCCTGAAGCTGGCCTTTGCTGGGGAAAGGACGGAAAAGTTTCTGCATCTCCCCTTAAGGAAACTGTCCCCGGGTTAGAGGAGTGGGAGGCACTAAAGGATGCGAGGATGGTCATCCCAAGTCCATGCTTCTGTGATGCTGCTTTTCCATGTCGACACAGTTCCGAGGCGAGGTCAAGGGCTCCTAGGGGAGACTGGGCCAAGAAGCCCTGGACCAGTCGCCTGTCGGGGTCTGTGGTGAGCGGCTCCTTTAAGAGGCGGGGCCGAAGTCGCAGAGCGTCCCCGGCTTTGTACGTGTCGGGGGCGGGGTTTCATCACGGCCCTTGCAGCATGGCCGCTGGCGCTGCCGCCGCCTTGGCGTTCTTGAGTCAGGAGAGCCGAGTCCGTTCCGGGGGTGTCGGGGGTCTGCGGATCCCGGCTCCGGTCACGATGGACAGTTTTTTTTTCGGTATTGGGGACGAGGGTGGTGCTGGGGCGGTAAGAGGCAGGACTGAGGAACAGGAAAGCAGACCGTTGCACGGCCTGGGAGGGGGCCTGACACATGGCAGTTCGAACGAAGTGGGTGGCGAGACCCCTGCCCCAGAAATGCGGGGAGGGGCCCAGGGCTGTGCTCCCCAACTGTTCCTGTGGAGATGTGGGCGTGTAAATGGACTTTAAGCCCTCGGCTACACGTGTTGGAGGTTTGGTGACACCTCTCCCCCCCCCCCCCCGCCCCCGCTCCCCCTAGCGCGCGTACACATCTACGTATCTCAACGTATTTCTTCCAGGCTGTGAGCTCTCTGGCCACACCCGCTCTTTCACCTTCAAGGTAGAGGAAGAGGATGATGCGGAGCACGTGCTGGCTTTGACCATGGTGAGGGGAGGGGGTAAAGAGAGAGACTATGACTAGCTCGACCTTAGCAGGCGACTGTTGGACCTCTAAGCCCACCCCACCTTCCACCCTCCACCCCTAATCCCACACGGGCGGCCCCTCTAAGTGATTTAGCGACTGGGAAAGTTAGGGCTGATATCTCCACTGGCGGTTTTAACCCTCTCTTGGAGAGACCCGCAGTACCTGTGTACCGTTCGCAGCTCTGCCTCACCGAGGGGGCCAAAGATGAATGTAATGTGGTGGAAGTCGTGGCCAGGAACCATGACCACCAGGAGATTGCAGTCCCTGTGGCCAATCTCAAGTTGTCCTGCCAACCCATGGTGAGTTCCCTGGCCATACCTTGGGAGGGGACATAGGATTTGAGAGCTTCAGAACTCACAATAAGATGGAGTGGGCCAGCCCTTCATCCTTGTCTTCCTTCCAGCTCAGTTTGGATGACTTCCAGCTCCAGCCACCTGTAACCTTCCGCCTGAAGTCAGGCTCTGGCCCTGTGCGGATCACAGGGCGGCACCAGATTGGTGAGAGCTCTTTTCTTTGCCTCCAGTGGATTTTCCATCAGGTTCCTTATTTTTGCATTCCTGCTTCATTCCAATGTTATCTCTTAGTGTACACATGTGTGCTCATGCACACATGCCTTGCATGATGTGCCCTCCACTTTCTGTCTTACTCATGCATACCTCCTTCATGGAACCCATCTAAGCATCTTCTGCTCCAGGGATGTGGATTTCTTTGACTTTGTCACCCACGTTAGTATCTGAGGTTCTTCTTATCTAAACCATAAGCTCCAGGAGGTCAGGGTTCCCAGGACATGAATAAATGACTTATGGTAAGAAGGGGGTGTCTAAGTTTAATTGCCCCCTCTTTTTACTGCTTGTGTATCCACCAGTTTCTATAAGCAATGATCTTTCTGAAGAAGAAGAGAGTGAAGAGGGGAGTGAGGAAGAAGCAGTTGAATTGTGTCCCATCTTGCCTGCCAAGAAGCAGAGAGGCAGGCCCTAGCCCTCTTTGGTGAGTGGGGGGAGGGGTACCCAGCAGGGTCTGGGAGTGGGCAGGAAGAGATGAGAGCCAGATGCTGACCCCTTGTTTACTCTCCTCAGGTCACCTAGCTGCCTGCCACATGCACCATGTTCCTGTACAAGTTTCAAGAATTTCAAATGTGTCTTCTCCATCGAAGAGGAGGGATGTGGGTTTGGGTTCTTTGGGCGGTGCTAGAAAACAGAGGGTCTTGTTCTGCATAGGCCCAGTTATTCTAATCTAATACATTTCTAGGCCTCTTTTTACTCCAGGAGCGGAAGGAACTTTAAACTTCTGTCCTGATGTCCTCTTCCTACTTGCTTATGAGTTTGAAGGTCGGTGTCTGAACCTCAGGACTACACGTTTTTAACACTTTTTACATTTTTGGATAAAGTTTGAAATAAAGTGGTGTGGAGTTTTTTGCAACATATATGTGTTTCTGCTGGGGTGGCATTCCCCTAGGGACCACCAGGTGGCATTGTGGCAGCACTGAGGGTGGGCCTGGGTCTGGTTGGGGGAGGATGAGAAAATGTGGGATCCTGTTATCCTCTAGGGCCAGGCCAAGCCTGAGCCCCAACTGCTTTGCTGGAAGAGGACCTCCCAACACTAAGCCCATCCCCAGTCCCTACAGGTGGGGGAGGGCCATTCCAGGAGGTTATCAGCATCCAAACAAGGGGTCTGGGCCTCTGTCAGCACTCAGGCTGATGGGCAGGGGGGCAGATAAAGGGGCTTAAGCAGCCAGAGGAATGTGCATCCCTAGCCCCATGAGGGGGCTCAGACCCTGAGAGGGCCTGTGAGGGGTAGGGCTGAGGCTGGTCTTTGCTTTTTCCAGTCTTGCAGGCTCTCTTTGAGCCTGTCTGGGCCCTTAGAAACCTGATTCCAGGGGCCAGATGGAGGGAGCTGGCCAGATTGGGTGACAGGGAAACCAGAATCCGGGTGGCCTGGCATATGGGGGCAGACAGGGCCCCTGGGATTCAATCTCCTGGGCTAAGGGGTCCCTACCCCCCAGCACACAGCCTGATCTAGGATTCTCTATGCTTGGAGTCAGGTGGTTCTGGGCTTGGCTACTGCTGTGCCAGGAAGAGAAAGGGATGTATCTGGTGTGAGTATGAGTGTGTATGTGAGTAACTGGGGTCAGCAGTTCAGCAGCTGTGTTGATAGGATGGGGGGCTGTGGGATCTCAATGCCCCACAAACAAACAAACAAACAGAAGGTTACCTCCTGAGACTGCCTGGGGCCAGACACACTGAGGATGGACAGACAGTGCTTGATGGGACCAGGCCCACTCCTTCCCACACCCCTTGCTGGGCAAATGAGTGAACAAGTGGGAGGGCCCCCTTGATAACAGGAAGGACCTGGTATTCCACAGGTAAGGCGAACTAAAGAGTGTCCCAACACCACCAGAAACGCTCCCTCTTCAAATCCCTAGAGGTTTCTCCCTACCCAAGATGAGGCGCAGAGGTCCAATTTTTAACCTTCCTTTTTCAAGTTGAGGATAAAGGAAGATGATCCTTGTGTTGCAATGATTGGGGTCGCAGGCCCATTCTCCAGTTTTCTGAAGTGCTCACCCTGGGAGCCGGGGTGCTGGTGGCAAGCCCGCTTAGGATCAGCCCTTCACCTTCCCGCAGCCGTTCGGGAAGGAAGGGGAGGTGGGGCTGGCGCCCTCTGGTGGGTGAGGTTGAAACCGCCTGTGGCTGTGCGGCCGCCCTCGCCGCTGGTCTAGGGGATCCAGGCTCGCGCTGCGTACTGGGGCCTGCTTCCAGCGAGCGTCGGGGAGACCGACTTTCAGGAACACGGCGCTGAAGTTAACTTTATTCGTCCCTTCGCTCGTTCCCGCATTCATTCACCGGAAGAGCCCGCCCTCCTCTCGCCTACAGCCGCCAAAGCCTCGGCACGTGCTTGGCTGGAGGCGCGGGAGACGGGCTGCACGCCGCGAAAAGCCGAAAAGGCGTCTCTCCGAAAGCCTTCCCAGCTCCCCACCTACCCCCCGCGCGCGGCCCCGCCCCGACACTCCCCTCCCCTCCCCCCGCGACTGGTCCCCCCTTGTGTTCCTTGGCTGTTTCCTCGGGCCGTGTCCCCGCGGGGCCCGAGTCGGCGCCGAGTGCTCTCCTGCCCGCAGTGGGGGCCCAATCCACATCTGCCCCTTGGGCCAGGCGCTTCCCGGTCCGACGGGGCGCGCCGCGCCCAGAGCTGGGGGCTGTTTTCCTTTCTCTCCAGCCCGCCTCTCCACGATCCCGCCTCGCGCCCGCCCGGCACACAGTGGGAGCGCTGTCACTTCACTTTAGCCTCGGAGCGCGGAAGGTTGGAAACGTGCGCCACGGCTTGCAGACCGCTGGAGGAGGGGCAGGCCCGTGGGGGGGGGGGGACTCCCAGACTGGGGCCCTAGTGCTTAACGCAGTCTCGGCGATTTGCATTTGAACGGTAGGCGGAGAGCCCGTGACGCTTTGAACGCCGAGCGCAGGAGGCGCGCGTTGGTGCTCTCGGCTGTCCGGGTGGTCAGAGCCTCTGGATTTGAGGGGCCCGGGTTGGGCGGAGGGGCGAGAGATGCGTTTGGAAAGGGACTGAAGATGTGTGTTTGGGTCCCCACGAGGGCGTGTTTGCAGAGAGGGACTGTTTGTGTTGGCGAGGAGTGTGTGTTTGTGTTCTCAGGAGGCGAGGGAGTACGTTTGTGTGTTTGCGGAGTGTGGGGCAGCCGAGAAAGGTGGCCGGGCTGTCACTCAGCGATCTGGTTGACAGGCGCTCCCTCATCAGGGCTCAGGAGCTCTGATTGCAGATTCGAGGAAACAAAATAGCAATTGTAATTACGGGGGTTGATAAGATAAAGAAAGGAGCGAGCTGGCCAGGAGGCAAAGGAGCGATCCTGTAAGGGAGAGAGCGGCCTGCTGTGGCCTGGATGGAATAGTTGCATCTGTCACTCACTGCGCGTTCCCGGGCCCACCCGCGCCTGTTGCTGGGGTATCCCCATGCTACCCCTAAGAGATACGGACTTTTGAGGAGATGAGGAGGAACCAGTTCCTGGGTAGTTCTCTATATGTAAAGGCATTCTGGTCCTACAAGAGGCCCCTTAGCGGAAGTTAAGGTGTCAGTACTGAAACCCTGACCTCCACACTTGTAGGTTCTAGGGAGAGGGAAATGTCTGGATTAAGATCACTAAGGTTCATTCAGCCCAGGGCCCTCAAACCTTTTGCAGCTACAGAACCAGGGGCAGATGCTGGTCTGAACCAGGTTCTCTGGCCCCCACCCCTATTCCAGGAACACAGAATAACTCTGGTTGAGACTCTAGAACTATATACACACTGAGCAAGAGCTGGTCACCCAGACCCTTGCCTGTGTCCAGCTCACAGCTGTACTCATCAGACTGTTTTCAAAGGACTGGTGTCCCTGGTGGGGAGAAGGCCTTTCCCCTCCATCTCTTAGCTCATTCATTCATTAACACACACAAACTTTCCCAACGGCTTATTCCTGCAGGCCATGAGGTTAAGATGGTGAGCATCTTGCCTGCTTGAAGCAGCGCAACTGGAGAGGTAGAAACTCAATAAACCCCCTCACAGGCCTGTAAGATACAGAGCAGTTCAACGAAGGAAAAGGGCTCTCTAGGCTATGGGTACTGGAGTCCACCTCATCTGTCTTCTGGCTAATGGGCCTACCTCCCAGGGGGCTGAGAGGAAACAGTGCAAACCAAGCCTTTAGCAAATACAAGTGTTCAATAAATGGTGGTGTTTATTACCTGTTGGGAGGGAGCTATAGGTGTGTGTCCCTGTGGAAGCTGTACATGGGATGAAGCCCCATCATTCATTCATGGATTACTAACTGCAGAACAACCCTCCCCGCTCTATGCCACCAGCTGCAAGTAAGACATGGCCTTTGCCTGGAGGGCTGTGTGGGAAAGAGCCAGCTGAGTGAAGACTCCTGGAGGGGGGGTCACAGGGGCTCAGGAAGTCTACTTTTAAGAGGAGGGATGGGATCTTGGGACAAGTCCTCTGTTTCCCCATGGATTCAATGGATTCATGGTGCAGTGCTAGCATGATGACTGGGAGTGGGGAAAGGTGGGGCAGAGATTAAGGGGAAGTAGGTGTGACTTGCCTGGGCTGCTGGACTGGGGCCTGCCTCTGTCTCTGGGACCATCCCAATTCCTCCAGCCCTACTCCCAAGGACACGGGCGGGGAGAGAGCAGTGAGGAGAGAAGGTCATGGGCAAAGGCAGCCACTGGGTAGGGCATCCGTGGCTCCAACTGCTCCTCAGAAGTATCTATCCCAGGGCACCTCTGCCATCCTGGCTGTTCCCAAGGACGCACCCTGACTTAGTGTCTCTGGAAGACCCTGAGGTAAGCAATGCAGGGCTGGGAAAGGCTTCGACAAGTCCCATCTCCTTTGGTTCTCACCCCCTTCCTCCTCAGGTAGTTGACACAAAGCCCCAGCCTAGGTCTAGAACATAGAACATAGCAGAATGGCAAATACCTGTTAAGGGCGCAAGTAATAGGACTCTGAGAGGGAAAGGCTGGGTGCCCTGCATCTGTCTCTTTCCCAGGAAGTACTTATTTCTTCCGGCTGCTTAGAGGGGAGGACAGTGACTGTGGGTCCTGCCAGGGACCTCTGGGCTTTCCCACACAAGTGGCTCAGGATTCCTCTAGAATTTCAGGCTAGTATTTGTGTGTGGGCCTGGGTCTGGGGTAATGGTGACAATGGGGGAAGGAGAAGGAGACATTTCTCACTCTAGGAGAGATAGGCCAGAAGAGGTACTCAGCAGAAAGAGGGCGTCTTGGGACCCCATCACACACCCGCTCACTGCGGGAGAGGGGGACGCACAGCCATTCATTCAGGGCTAGCCTGCCTCCAGGGGACAGGCCCCGCGGAAGACACAGTAGGTAGCAGAGAGGTGCCCAGGAGCTGGAGCCATAAGCCTACAGGGCCCCACGGTGGAGACCGGGCACCTTCAGACTCAGGCGCACCGGGCGGCGCGAGGAGCCCCAGCCGAGGGTCTCCAGACCCCACCGAGTAGGCGACCGGCGATGCCTCCATTCCCGTGTGTCCAGACACCAAGAGCGCGCGAGGGGACAGGTCGGGGATGGGGGAGGCGCCCACACCGGACGCCCCGGCCCCTCCCGTCGGTTCCCAGACCCCTCCCCTAGCTCAGACCCCCAATCCTAGACCCGCCGGCCGCCCCGCCCCGGGCCGCCCCGCCCCCGCCCCGGGCTGCGTCCGGGCCCCAGCTCCCAGCCGGGGGCTGCGGGCTCCGGCCGCCCGCCCCGCGCTCCCCCCTCGCGCCCGGTGCGGCGCCCCCCGCCTCCACCCCTCCCCCTCCCTTCCCACCTACCCACCCACCCTGCCGGCCCGTTACCCTCCCGCCCGCTCCGGCGTCTGAGCAGCCAGCGGCCACCGGCTCCGGCAGCGGCGGAGAGCGACTCGGCGCGGCGGGGCGCGGGGCGGCGCGGGAGCCGACGTTCCACGGGACCCGC